TAGAGTTGAGACTAAATGCGTATCGATAAATTGGAGCGTAAAAAAGAAATATCCGGACCAGTATCGCGAAACAGCGCTAGATATCGCTTTTAACACCGGTACGGTAATTTAAAAATCGATCGGTCGATCACAAATTGCTGGCCAGTGGAACCAGTGACAAAAAATGTACTACCTTTTTTTACTGCGTTAAAGAGAAGATAAATATAGATTTTGTTCGAGAATTTATTTTATTGAATATATTTAAAATAATATATTACAAAAATATTAATGATATTTAGATAATTTTGAGAAATTAATTATGATAATCAATTTAATTGAGTATAAGTAAAATATGTACGTAGTTCAGAAAGGGATCTGCGGCGGAAGGACCAATGTTACGGGCGAGAATTAACTCACCCTAATGAACTGAGCCCCTTAATTCTCGCCCGTAACATATTGAGAATGATAAATTATGAACTATTTCCCTTACCGACAACCTAATTTTTTTACATTAATGGGGGTGGCAAATTTAATTCTTGCACCCGGGCGGCAGATACCCTAGGCTCGGCCCTGTACTTACTAGAGAATTTAACACAAGACAACAGATACAGGGTGGTCCGATCTGTATTCCGAAAACTTCAGCAGCATATTCTGCAGATAAAAATAAGTAAAAAAGTTCGTATAAATGTATGTCTTAAAATGCTCGGAGATACAGGGTCTATATGTTTCATTTTTATTTCGATTTTTTCCAAATAATTTCTGAAGTAACGTTAATATTTGGATGAAAATTGTTGTCTTGGAGATGTTTGACATGAAAAATTTTATTTTGAGTCAATATGACTCCCATTCATAGATTTAATATAAAATAAAGTTTATGCTCCCATTTGACTCCCAACCGTTCTCAAGATATTATTTAGAATGGAAATTGTCAATATATGTCATTATTGAAAAAAAATAAACATGTTGAGTAGATTGTTATTTGACAGAAATTATAAATTTGGGAACTTTTTATTTTTTTAAATTAATCATAATTTTTCTCCGAAAAAATAATCACAAAACACTTCCTGTTCAATATTTAACACAAAATCATTTTAAATTTATGATTTCAGTCTAATAACTATTTAGTTAACATATGTTTAATTTATGTCAATGAAGACAAATTTAAATAATTTCTTTTGAGACCTTTTTTACATAAAAAATGTCGTAAATGCATATTTTTTACTCTGTAGGTTTAGACAGGTACGGACGAAAAGATATTATGCTTCAAACCAGTAAAAAAATATGTAGGTGGCGCCCTCTAAAACTGGGAGCAAAGACTGGGAGTCATATTGACATCAAAATCAAATTTCTCATGTCAAAAAACTCCCAGTCACCAATTTTCATGCAAATATTGACGTTACTTCAGAAATTATTTGGAAAAAACCGAAATAAAAATGAAACTCATACACCCTGTATTTCGGAAACTAAGCATACATTTATACGAACTTTTTTACTTATTTTTAAATGCAGAATATGCTGCCGAAGTTTCCGGAATACAATTCGGACCACCCTGTATATTACACTATATCGCTAGTTAGGAATAGATGTTGAAGTCAAATTTTTGAGATGGAACTATACAAAATCCACAAAGTCGGTCCTTTTCGTTCATCATCTTTGAACTACGCAAGAGTAAGAAGTGCTTCTCGATTAGATGATTTATTTCAAACTAACCAATAGAAGTAGTTTTCTAAGTTTCTATCTACCACGTAAACCAAATTTAGCGTGTGACTATTCGCGCCTTTACTTATAAATTTAAATTTAATCTCTGGCATATTTAAATAAAAACCAGAAACGGATAGATATGATGAATATCTAAAATAACAGGTTGAAATAATGCTATTACCAATAAGAAAATAATAGATTATAGGTACGTTATTAATATTTAGACATTAGCGTAACTAGCAATTTATCCTGGGGTGGGCCTGGGGAGTGGGCCTGGTGTTGAACCCAGGGGGGCCTAGGGCTTTTGTTTTTTTAAAAATGAAAAATAATTTAAAAAAAACACATTTTTTGAATAAAACTTTTCATGAATTTCTCTATCAATAAATTTCATAGACTTGGTTATCAAACCGTGTTCCCGTAGATTACTTACCCAAGTATCATTTTTACGACTTGCGATCACATGTTTACTAAACACAACGTTGTTTAGTTATTAAAATAAATTTAAACGTTTTTATAACGTTGTGCCGACGTTGGACTAGTACTACAGCAAAGTAGAAGCTTCTGCCACGTCGAATAAACGTTGTCTTGTAACCTTTTTTGCTTAAGTGATCTTTAGGTGATTCGGACAACGTAGTTGCAACATTGGACAATATAGAGTTTTCCGACGTCAGTTTCAGGACCTATTCCAACGTTATGCAAACGTCGTCTGTTTTACTAATTCCAACGTTGTTTAGATTTCCTTATTCTTACGTTTGTAGGACGTCGAGTCACTACCTTTTTGCAACTGTATTGAACCATAACCTTAAATCTTAAATTTTCACTTCATTGTTCTGTTCAGTCAGACAGTTCAGAGCTGTTTTTGTTTTTATAAAAAAAACTTAATTACAATGGGACATAAGAAAGGTACATATAAAGCTAAATTTAAATATACATCGACATATATTACCGATAGTTTATCCACTCCCTCGTTTATTTAGATTATAGAGGGCGGCACAAGCTAGACTCTAGGATGACTAAATTAGGCAATCTTGCGACTAGTGTACTACCTGTTAAGGCCGAACTGCGACTTTATTAGTCCAGTATGCGACTACTCGAACTACTCCATCTTAATCTCCAAAACAACAAAGTGAAAGCCGCCATGTTGTTAAATAAGAAAATGTTTCGTTCCTAAAATAGCAATTCCTGCTTTTTGAATACATTAACTTGAAATATTTGACCCTAAAAAACAGGCGGAAACAATTTTTTCGACTGCGAATAAATTATTCTCATTTTACTAAAAAAAAAATTCAAGAAAACGTTTAAAACTTAGTATTTTTCAAAGTAGAAACAATACATTTATCAATAAAGTTGTTTGCGTTTAACTTTTTTGCCTTGGGTAACGAGTTACAGAGTCGGTTAAAGTGTTTCAATAATTATAATCTTCAAACATCCTCCACACTTAAATACTTTTGTTTTGTTTTCCTTCACTGCCATCTGACATTTGTCTCTAACTAAATCATAAAAATAATATTTTTACTATAATTATCCCAATTTAGGATAAAACGCGACTTAGACGCCATATTAGTTTTGTATTTCTGTGAATTAGGATTTTAAACAACGTTGCAGTTTGTACTAAATTAGGCTTCTAGCCAACGTCGGTATCCAACGTCGTTTCGACCCAAAAATTATTCTCCAAACTAGTGCAGACTAGGGTTGACACGAGGTTGTGCCGACGTTGCGCCCCGACGTTTGGTCGCGTGACACAACGTTGTCCCGACGTCCAAATGCTGCTTGGGTAAATACCTATAAATTTTCTAAAAAAAAATAAATTTAACGCATTTTTTGAGTACAACAAAATAATATTAACTAAACAAAACTAGAAAACGTAATTTTTACTAAATCTCAAGCAAATAAAAATTAATACGTAGCCAAGAGTCATAATTCAGGATTTATCTGGGGGGTGCCCAGCAGTACCTGTGAGGTAGTGGCGGCACCCCCGGGCTCCCCTGTAATTACGCCAATGTATTTAGAGTTAGAAATAGTGCGCGGGCAGGTGACAGCGTTCAGCGATGAAGTAGACGAATCAGATCATTTTATTTGGCGCGTGCGCACGAAAATCTTGTTGAACCAAAAGGATAGACTTATGCAAGATTGATATTCCTATTTCTTTTCTTTGGCTTTACTTTCCACTCATTGTGTCAATGCGGTACTAGCAATACTAAGGGCTGGCAAAGGTTAGTCTGGGTCGAGATTTCCGTATGTAAGAAGAGTACAATGCGTTTATAATGTACTGAACAAAGAGAGGACAGTAAACACGTTGCCAAACGTATGAAATAAACCGAGAAACTGTGCACATCGCTAAGAGACGTGGAAGGGGATATAGCAGATTTGTCGCAGTTGACCGGTCGACCCAATCAGTACCTCTGTCAGTACTTAAAGTTCTAGGGAAAGGTGTACGTCATGCGTTCAGCTTCATGATTTAATTACGTCTTGTGATACTTAATTTGTTTATTTATTAACGAGTCGTTGTAATTTTCCCTATAGCTTGAATTTTTTTAAGTGTAAGCTAGAAACACTTGCATTTGTGGTAAAAATAAGTGGAATTGAGTGTGTATTCGATAGTGGTCGCGCTATTAGAACTCTGAATTCAAAAATCGATATCTCGAAGTCTATTAGAAATAATAGATTGTAGTTTTTTCAAGACCTTTGTTAATATTTCTGTTGTATTTTCTTTGTAGAGAGTATGTGAAAATCTTTATTAATAAAAAAATTAAACGATTGCTGAAAATTGCTATGCTCTAAAAGTAAATGGATGGATTGTTTACAATTTTTGAATGGAAAAAACAACCTTATCGAATTTTTCTTATGTAAACATATTGTAAAATATCCGATCTTAAAAATAAAAAAGTTTCAATATCTAAAGTGGTTCTTGAGTTACGGCCTGTTATGTGTTAAAAAGTTGAGTTTTTAAATTATCGCCATTACTGACGTTTTCTCGTTATAAAAAAAATGACACCCTAACGATAATTATAATTCCATTTCAGATGCTCAGAAACATGTCTAATGATTTTATCTAGTTACCTCTTGAAAAAAAAGTCTTTTAAAAATTAGCGGTTTGCCATCGCGATTTTACTTTACTTGATAGGGAAAGGCGTATTGGCAACGCCGCAACAGCACACTATCGCGCGTCGCGTCGGTCGGTCGCATTTCTCTCACTCCGACTTAATAAGATCCCTATGCGATTTACTTCCACACATGTAAATGCCGACCCAAAAGTAACAGTTGCCAGCACGGTATATTCTTATAATATATTTGCTCATGAGGTTCTTACGTATTTTCAGCTACTGCCAGCGCCGATGAAAATTTAGCAATTTGGAATTTTTATGGTGACCAAAGTTCCGAGTTCCAATCGTTGAGACCAAAGAAGAAGGAAAAGAGCATTTTTGATATATTCGAAAGCGAGAAAAAATTTAAAATATCCCTGAGATAGATTTTTTGTTGTAAAGATAGAGTTTTTGTTTTTGTTGTTTGTGTTTTCTTTTATTTATTTTACTAATTGTTAAATGTTGAAATACCTATATCTATTTATTTTTTTATTAATATATTATTTAATAAGATATTATATAAATAAAACATTTTCTTATTATAATGTACTAGCAATTTGGGACTTTTTTGGTGACAAAACTTCCGAGTTCCAATCGTTGAGGCCAAAGAAGAAGGTAAAGAGCATTTTTGATATATTCGAAAGCGAGAAAAAATTTAAAATATGCCTGAGATAGATTTTTTGTTGTTGTTTGTGTTTTCTTTTATTTATTTTACTAATTGTTAAATATTGAAATACCTATATCTATTTATTTTTTTATTAATAAATTATTTAATAAGATATTATATAAATAAAATATTTTCTTATTATTATGTACTATTAAATTTGTTATGTAAAAAGTAAAATTTTTTGTTGTAAACTTTTCCTATTTTTCTTTTATTTATTTTACTAATTGTTAAATGTTGAAATACCTATATCTATTTATTATTTAATTTATTTAACTGCTAGCTAATCCGGCTAACTTGTTAACATTGGCCAAGATTGAATGAGAGTCGAGAGTTTTTTTGTCAATTTTGTGGTTCGGATACATACCATACATACTGCCATTACTCACTGACGAGTATTTGACATACGCAAGGCGTTTTCTTTCATGAGCTTTTCTGTGACTGAAAATCCCTACCGCACTCCGGACATTCAAAAATCGCATTGCTTTGATGCCTCTTTACTTTTTGGTTGTCGCTGTTAACTGAGTTTAATATTCTTCTCCAATGAGTTCTATTGTGAGCTGCTTATTCCCACACATTCTGCATGTTAATCCCCTTTAAGTTTTCGTGGAAAATGTCCTTGTACCTTTTGAGTTGTCCACCCGGCCTCCTCTTACCGTCTACAAGCTCACCGTAAAGCAGAGATTTTGGTATGCGATTTTCTTGCATTCTGCATACGTGACCAGCCCATCTTCCTCCAAGCGGGATTTTGTAACCATGACTTCAATTCTCTCGCAGTTAGCTTTTTCAAGGACCGATACGTTTGAGATATGGTGGAACTATTTGATTCTTAAGAATTACTAAGGTGTCTCTGTTGCAACTTGTTTAATGCGTTCATGTGTCGGCCGGTACGGCACCCAGGTTTCGCTTCCATATAAAATGGTGGTGATTATTATTGCTCCGTACGCTGCAAGTTTCGTTTTTGTGTTCAAGTCATGATTGTAGAAAACCCTGTCTTTTAATTTCCAGAAGGGTCTTGAGGCGCTGCTAATCCTACGCTGAGTTTCAGAGTCGATATTGGCCTTTTCCGAAATCAAACTGCCGAGGTAATTTAATTCCTACATATTCCAATAGTTCTTCTCTGATTATTATAGCATTGTTGTAATCTTCCGGGGGAGTGCACATGATTTTATCTTTATCGATGTTCAGCTTAAGGCCCAAAGCCTCGTATGCCCAGGTTTGTGTGTTCAACATTTCTTGTAACTGCTGTAACGTTTTTGCAACTAGAGCGCAGTCATCAGCGTATTGAAGTTCTGCGATGAATTTTATGAATGTAGTTTTCTCAAAATGTCAAAAATAAAAAAGTTTTTCCTCTTGTAAAGACAATCCGGTGACATACTGTATATCCATAACAATGTAAAAATGTATACAGTACGTAGCATGTTAAATAAAAATTAAAAAATTAACACACATACAGATGTGGGTTAATTTTTATATATTTAAAACACATAAAGAAATTCAGAAAAATTGTCATAACTTTGCTAATTATGATAGTCATTTTTCTTCTCAATGTATTTTTTAATTACTAATCTTTATGTATATATTTCTGACGATTTGTTGTATTTATATATTTATTACATAATGATATATATTTATGTCATTATGTTAAAAAGTAATTATGTTTAGGAAACATAATTTCTAATAAAATATTTTTCTATTATTGTCACGCTGAGTCTTTTTATGCAGAACAGACCGCCATCGAATCTGTATATAATGCTCAATCCTCTTTCCTGCAGTTTGCTTTCCACTGTAATGGAGAGCACTGCCATGAATATGTTGAATAGGAGAGCCGCTAAGACACATCCTTTGCCTGTTTTTGTCAGGAAAGGATCGCTCAGTGATCCATGTACACTGTAAAAAATTTGTTGGGTACTTCGAACTTTTTTATAACTGCCCAAAGTGCATCTGTGTTCACAGAGTCGAAGGCTTTTGTTAGGTCGATGAATGCAACTTAAAGTTTACACTGCTACGGGGAGATATGGAATCGACGGTGCCGCGGTTGGTGCGAAAACCCGTTTGATTCTGGGAGGATTTTTTCTATATGTGGATGCAGACGGTTTGACATAATTTTTGCAAGAATATTTCCTCCGATAGCCAGTAGTGAAATTCTCCGGTAGTTTCCGCAGTCTGATGTACTTCCTTTGTTCTTAAATGTATTCACTATATTTTACTTCTCTGTTTTTCCATATGACATCGAAGAGAGCCTTAAGATGACCACTAAGTTCTTTACTTGCACACTTATAGATTTTCGCCGGAATCGCGTCACAGCCCTTTGATTTGTTGTTTTTAAGCTGTTTTATGGGGCCTTTATTTCCTGTTCCATTATTGGGATATCTAATACATCAAGGCTGTTATACTGAGGTAATTGATAAAAAAAGCGGCTGGGAAACGACGATCGATGACATTTTCCATATAAATTTACATTTGAAATGACAACGATCTTCATTTCCTAGCAATCGCTGACGCCGTTTTTTTTTAAATAAAAATAAACTCCGATAAGAATGAATCTCCGAAACTATAAGCATTTTAGGACCTACATTTATTCAAACTTTTTTACTTATTTTTATCTGCAGAATATGCTGTCCAAGTTTCCGGAATACAGTTTGGATCACCCTGTATATCCAGAAGTTATAAAGAATATAGGAATATGGAAAATCAATAACGATTACTAATAATTATAATTTTCTCTTTGTTTTTGTTTTGTGATACACTTAACTAAAAACTATATAATATTTTGATTTGTGCGGTAACACCCAAATTATGATAGCCTAATATATATTAATTTTAGTTAATATAAGGTAAATTTATATGTCTCCTGTTCTTGAGGTTTCTTTTTAACACAGACGCTTTGCCTCTTCTTTTCCATAGCTGTTCTAAAGATGCTATAAAGAACGCCATGACTATTCCCAACCCTAATATAATGAATGACGTTATCAGGTCGTTAATTCTTGCGCTCTGGAATGTTTTCTGTTGGCTACACACTGGCAAGTTTGGAGCTACGAGTTTGGATATGTAGTCGTGGACGCCTGATTCCATCATCTTAATAAGACTGCAAAGAAAATATAATGCGGTTTTAGCAAAATATACTGGGTGCGTCTCAAAAGTGGCTCACCTCTATAACTTTTTATTTTCTCAGATAAAAAATCGAGATTTGGTATGTTAGTATGTGAAAATTAGGATTTGACTGACGTATTCAATTGAAGACTACACGGGAAAAACGGACTAAGTCCAAAACAATGGAAATTGAGATAACACTGCCATCTCATGCCCATCAAGTGTCCGTTCCAAAATAGGAATAATGTAACACTGAAATAATGATCTAAGTCCACTAAAATCAGCGATTAAAATATTAATACTTTGGAAAAGCGATCTAAGTCCACGTGAATTCACGGAAGGCCGATCCAAGATGGATCCAAGTCCATATTTCATGTTTGTAAACATATCAACGCATACAAAACGAATGTCTAGTAGTGTAGTTTCATTTTATCAGAAACAAATCGCCATTCCTAAGTAAAAAATAATCTAATGCTAATAATATTAATAAAAAAATAATAATAAAAATAAGAAATAAATAAAAAAATATTAAGAAAATATAATAACAATATTAATAATAAAAATGAAAATAAAAACATATTTTTCTCTTTATTCCAGCACGAGTAATCCTCGGAGTAACCACATACAGAATTATTCCATATGGACTTGGATCACTTTTCCATTGAACCAAGCGAATACGAGTTTTATTTTATCTAACAAATTTGCTACAAATTATTTTTCTTTGTTTTGTCTGTTAATCAGTTAATGTCTATACATATAACTATTGATAAAAACTTCTTACGATTCGCTACATTTTATTATTTATTTTCCTTTAGTCTTTAAAGTTTCAAAATCATTTATCTCAAAAGTAAGAAAATGTGACTTAGATCGTTTTTCCCCTGTAGTCTTCAATTGTTTTTGAACACTTCCTGTTTTTTTTTTCGGAAATGACTACAACTTTTAATTTTAAATGACACCCTCAGTATTTTTTTACTTTATTCGATAGAAAATGACCCTCTGAATCGAATGACATATATGTCAATTTTTGACATTTTCGTATATGGTTTATTTGATATTGTAACATGCGGTTCATAACGACAATTTGACATTATTTGACAGGTATTTGAAAATACCAAGTGTGTGGTATCAAATTATTCGTAAAAAAATGCTTTTTTCAAATATGCTAATGAGCCACCCTCGTTCCATTTGAAAAAATTGGGATATGATTAATATACGATTTCGGCATTTTTGAACCGACCAGGACAAGACACTAAAAACATTAGACGATCACATCTATTTTTCCAAGGCTCCTTGACTAAAACAAAAAAAAATAGTGTTTTTAACACAGTCATGGCACTCTAGATTGAAATTTAAAATACAATTTGTTTTTCAGCGAATGTGTCAAAAGTTGACATATTTTATGTCATTCGATTCAGAGTGTCATTTTCTATCGTATAAAGTAAAAAATTCCAAGGGTGCTATTTAAAAATCAAAAATTGTAGTCATTTCCAGTGAAACAGGAAGTGACCGAAAACAATTGAATACGTCAATCAATCCTAATTTATGTCATACTCACACCAAATCTCGTTTTTTATCTGAAAAAAATAAAAAAGTTATAGGGGAGAGCCACTTCTGAGATGCACCCGGTATAGTAGCTATATAGCTATATACCGAGTGGTGCATCGTCGTTGGAAACAAGAAATCCCATGCAAATTTTCAACTGTCCAAATATTTGCTCCCCTATTAATTTTATACCTAAGCCGTAAATAGGTTTTTAAAGGTCAGCGTATGCTGAGTGCACATTAGGGTGGATCGTAAATCACAAAATTTAAAAAGTTTTAAAACATCGACTTGGATTACCTACCAAAAGTTACCTTTAGTAATGTTGATAAAAAAGTTTATTTAATTTTTTTTATTAAATCACGTCTTCTGCCCTCTACCGGCTGTTAAAAATTGAAAAAAAAGAACTTCAAACCAAAAATACTTGCCTGTTTGATATCAGCTCATGCAAATGCGAATTTTGTGACCACTGCTCTTGCGAAAAGGAAAAAAGGTACCTAAAAATGAACAGGTTTTTTTGATAGATCAGAGGGGGCTTCGAAAATGGTTATTGGGAAAATTAACGTAATGGAAACCTCAAAGCTGATGGGCCAGCAGAACGGAAAAAGATATGCAACGGAAAGAACTACAACAATCCATCCAACATGAAAGCAATTCGATTATAACGACGAGGTCGTAGACCGAGTCGTTCTAATCACACGAGTGTTGTAATCATGTTTAAACGCACGTGTCATGTACAACGTTTTATCTACAACCGAAAAATAAGAAAATGTTGTTTTAATTTCCGTTTATTAGTCACCCACCTTTAACACCTTTAACTACGACATTTGCCACATTTATGCTCAAAAGTCAGTTTGCCCTGTCAAGTAAACGCGAGCACTTTTTGCCCAGAAAAATCATTTTAAAAATTACGATGAGCAATTCCGAAAGTCTCCCTTCAGATGTAGAACTTGCCGCAGTACGTGCCACGGAATCATTATTGCCGGAAACGTTAATATATTTAGATGTTCGTAGTTGTTTTTCATTATTATAGCAACTAGTTGTGTTATAGATTCATAACACCACTAGTTGTGTTATGAATCTCATAACGTAACTGAAATACTAAAAAAATAGTGATGTAAAAACGTTATAACTAAACGGTTGTAGATAATAGTTATTTACAGTACAAGTGTGTTTATGAACATGATTACAACAACGAGTGTGAACGATTAGAACGACGAGGTCGTAGACCGAGTCGTTCTAATCACGAGTGTTGTAGTCATGTTTAAACGCACGTGTCATGGACAACGTTTTATCTACAACCAAAAAATAAGAAAACGCTGTTTTAATTTTCGTTTATTAGTCGCCCACCTTTAACACCTTTAACTATGACATTTGTCACATTTTTTTCTGAAAAGTCAGTTTGCCCTGTCAAGTAAACGCGAGCACTTTTTGCCCAGAAAAACCATTTTAAAAATTACGATGAGCGATTCCGAAAGTCTCCCTTCAGATGTAGAAGTCGCCGCAGTACGTGCCACGGAATCATTATTGCCGGAAAAGTTAATATATTTAGATGTTCGTAGTTGTTTTTCATTATTATAGAAAGTAGTTGTGTTATAGATTCATAACACCACTAGTTGTGTTATGAGTCTCATAACGTAACTGAAATACTAAAAAATAGTGATGTAAAAACGTTATAACTAAACGGTTGTAGATAAAACCTATTTACGACTTGAATTGTAAAATTAATAGGGAAGCCAATATTTGGAAAGTTCAAAAATTGCATGGGATTTCCTATGTTTCCAACGACGATGCACCCCCCGGTATATATCTCATAGTAGCTATATATTTTAGAACCAAACTCTAGCTATAGCTAGAGTTTGGTTAGGTTAGGCTCGTTAGTTTGGATAGCTCCGTTAAGAGGGTATTTATTATATATTTAATATAAAATTTTGGGTATAAAAACAACAATAATTGTACCATAAATTTATGAGCTTCTTGTAAGGAGAATCTAGAGATACCGGAAAAGCTACCGTGTTTTTCGTCGCTACTACAGGTATTTCCATTAGGTCGTACATGCACCTGTAATTACTGATAATTAGAAATTCCTTTCTTGCTACATGTCCTGTAGCAAAAAATCCATAATTCCCTTTTGTAGCTCTTAACAAACCTTCGGTAATGTTGCTTACATCGTTGTGCAGATATCCTCTCAAGTATATTTCGTTCAGCTGTGAAACGTTATTCATAGACTAAAAATTAGGATTGAATTTGTTAAGGATGATATAATTGATTTTATTATTTTGAGTGATGCCATAACCAGTGGCTCGTGAGTTTTGAAGGACATCCATCTCACAGGTTCTAGTTTTTATGCAAGAAATAACATCATTTTGTGATTAAAAAAAATTGTATAAAGTGTAACTTATTAAATATCGCCATACACTCAATTATACAGGGTGTTTAAAAAAACACGTGCTATACTCTCGTGGGGAAATTCCTCACTGTAAGTACATCAGCGGTTATCCTGATGATGCTAACATGGTTAGCGAAACACGCGTCCAGTGCAAAAATAAAAGTGTTTTGGTGTATTGTAGTGATATAATATTTCATTTTGCTAACACCAAAGGTTCCAACACCCAACTGTAATATACAGGGTGTCCCAGAAATAAGTGCAAGTATTTAAGTGGTGGTAGATCTCGATAAAAGAAACATATTTTCTCTTTATCTTTTTTCAAATAAGTCCAAAATAACGGAGTTATTTTACTTTGAAAATTTCCAAAAAAACTGATTGTAATGTTCTTATTTGGGTTCGCAATTACATGCTCTGAAGGAAACTCTAAGCCTATATAAAAAACCAACTTTATTTCGAATAACAATCTGTTCTTGTGTAAATCTTAATAGTAATTGAATTCGGTTAACCCTAATTAGCATATCGCGCGACATCCAATAATGCATAGTTGCATTCCTAATATTATATAAACAACTAATTCTAAACATATAATATAACTGGCCTTAATTAACTTAACTTAAGAAATACTTATATCTAAACTATTATGTACAGGGTGTAATAATATTTATACACTACATGATTTTATGTTAAAATTTTGAGAACTACTGGATTTTTCTGGATTTTCCTTCTTGTAAATTTAATCTAATACCTATGTTGCCATATTATCAAGAAATTATGTTTTTTAACTAAAAACTAAAAAAAGTTCCAAAAATTTTGAATTTTCAATTTTTTTTTTCGCGAAAACAACCTCATAGGCGTGTTTCTGGGGTTGAACTATATTACCAGTTAAAATACTTGCACGTATTTCTCGGACACCATGTATAATGTAATTGAAATCACTAATTTATTCTGAGTGGGGCTTAAGAAACAGAAAAAATGTTTTGAGATGCTGTGATTAAAGTATTTTTGTCTCTCTTACCCTCAAATATATTTCGTCTTGACTATTTCTCGTATAAGCTATGGCATAATTACTGTTCAACAAATCAGCGACTGATCGAATTTTAGTCAATTTAACTGACAGTATTGACGTAATGAAAGCTGAATAAGAGTTGTAAATTATCAAAGCAAAAATCAGAGCCATTACAATCACCATCTTGCCGGAAAATGTTTTGGCCTGTATTAAACTGCCTGCAAAAATTTAATTAATAAAAATAAGTTAAACTAGTCAAAACGAATTAAGGACCATTTTGATAAATTTGGTTTAAACAAAGAATATATATGTATTTAAACATACAGGGTGGCAAAACACGTCAATTTTGTTTGTGAGGGGGACAACTTTTGCCCCAAAAATTATTGCAAAATCTTCAACCCTCTAAGCGGGGATGTCATCCCCCAACTTTTTTCAAATGGGAAGGGGGGTCAAGTGGTACCGCAATGAAAAGGGCTTTTTTTCTCTATACTTTCCCGCTTCGTTTTTGAAAATCGGTCGAGTCATTGAGAAAATATGAAGGATTGAAATTTGAAAAGTTTATCTAAACATTTATCAGAGTAAATGATAAGGATACATTTCTTCGACCAATTTGCTGCTTTTTCTTATTATTTCTAGATGTTTACGCATTTTTTCACTTGCCACAAGGTTGAACGATGAGGTGCGGTAGTTGCTAGATAGCTGTTCTGTGACTTGTGGTGTGTGAATATCGTTAAACTTTTTAACAATTATGATGTACTCACTTGCAGAAAAAGTGGAAATAATCGAACTTTATTTTAAAAATAATGAATGTAGCAATCGGGTTCCGCAGATATTCAATGAATGCCATCCTGAAAAACACTTTTATGGCAAAATTGTTCGCGAGTTAGTAGCAAAATTTCGCGAAATTGGTTCCGTTATGAATAAAAAGAGGCAGAAGGAAAATCCTGTAGTAAATGAAGCTATGGAGGTATTCGTATTGGGCCAAGTTGCCATGGATAGTACGCTGAGTACAACAAAATTAGCCAATGCAAAATTGGCCGGCGTGAATCGTACCAGTGTCCAAAGGATATTAAAAAAACACAAGTTCCACCCGTACAAAATTCAGTTGGTACAAGAACTCAACGAAGATGATTTTGATCGTCGCTTGCAATTTTGTGAAACTGTGAGTGAACGAGTGGCAAATGATAATAATTTCCTATTTAATGTGTGTTTTTCGGATGAGTGTACTTTCTTTTTGAACGGTGTAGTTAATCGGCATAACTGTCGGTACTGGGCTGAGGGGTTTTTCACGATGTGCACACACAAAACCCTCAGAAATTGAACGTGTGGGCTGGTATTTTTGGAAATTCTATTTTGGGTCAGTTTAACGATATTGAGAAGAACTTCAATGCACAAGTCAGCTATCTAGCAACTGCTATCTAGCAACTGCTATCTAGCAACTGCCATCTAGCAACAGCTATCTAGCAACTGCCGCATCTGATCGTTCAACCTTGTGGCAAGTGAAAAAATGCGTAAACATCTAGAAATAATAAGAAAAAACAGCAAATTGGTCGAAGGAATTTATCCTTATCATTTACTCTGAAAAATGTTTAAATAAACTTTTCAAATTTCAATCCTTCATATTTTCTCAATGACTCGACCGATTTTCAAAAACGAAGCGGGAAAGTATAGAGAATAAAAAGCCCTTTTCATTGCGGTACCACTTGAACCCCCTACCCATTTGAAAAAAGTTGGGGGATGACAGTCCCGCTTAGAGGGTTGAAGATTTTGCAATCATTTTTGGGGTAAAAGTTGTCCCCCTCACAAACAAAATTGACGTGTTTTTGGATTTTTTGAAAAAAAAAAATATCCTGGCCGTTATGCCTTGAGGAACGTTTTCGATGGGCCACCCTGTATATGTGATCCCTAATTCGTTTTGATTAGTTTTAATCTAGTAATATTACGATTTAAACCCGACAAAATTCAGAAAGTTTTGAAAATTGGTAGGTATGTTGGGGATAGCATAAGGATTACTAAACCAAAAAGTTCCCACCCCTAAATAGTGTGCGTCATCCCCCAGGACGTTCCTACCCCCATTTTGAATTTTTTTAGATAATCTCGGCAACGGTGCAATTCTCGACAAAAATACCTATATAGAAAATTGTTCTTCATAAAATTCTCTATCAAAAAGATAATTACACTTTTTTTCTAAAGTTAATAATCAAGTTGCAAGTAGGGCGCAAATATAAGGGTTAAAAATAAAAAGAGTGATTTGTACTTATTATTTCCACATCATCCTAGAAGTAAAGTATTTGATGCGTTTTTTTAAAGTGGTATCGCCTGTAGGCCTAATCCACTAATACAGAGAAGAACGTATATTAAAATTCGAAAGTATAATTTGTGGTTACGGCTTTTTGTTAGCGTTAAACATTAAACTTTAAATTACATTGAACTGCAGATAGTGCTAGTCATAACCAACCCTTATATTTGCGCCCTATTTGCCACTTTATTATATAACTTTAGAAAAAAGTGTAATTATCTTTTTGATAGCGAATTTGATGAAGAACAATTTTCTATATCGGTATTTTTGTCGAGAATTGCACCGTTGCCGAGATTATCTAAAAAAACTCAAAATTGGGGTAGAAACGATGTCCTGGGGGATGACGCACACTATTTAGGGGTGGGAACTTTTCAGTTTATCAATACATATGATATCCTGATTATTTCCACCAATTTTGAAAACTTATTGAATTTTGTCGGATATATCGCAATTTGAGCCATAATATTACTGAACTATGAATAACCATCACTCTACAGCTACAATTTTCTGTGATTTCTCTAAGGCTTTCGATTGTGTAAATCATAATATCTTAGTTAACAAATTGCAATATTATGGTTTCAGGGGAGTGCCGCTCGAATGGCTTAAGTCATATCTTGGCAACAGGAGGCAGCTTGTGAGGATTGATATATCTATGTCTTCTTGTAAGCCTATAGAATGTGGTGTCCCTCAGGGTTCAGTACTTGGCCCTATTTTGTTTCTGGTGTTTATCAACAAAATTGCAAATCTAGACATTAACGGTAAAAACTGCCTCTTTGCGGACGATACTAGTTTCACTTGGAGCGGCCCAGATGTTGCGGCACTATATGATACTATATCCAGTGACTTACGCACCATTAAGTCTTGGTGCGATTCTAATCTTCTATGCCTCAACCTATCAAAAACTAAAGTTTTGTCATATAAAAGTACTATACAACCTTTTGTACTTAATAACACCACTATTGACGTCGTGGACTCTGTGAAGTTCTTAGGACTTGTTGTAGACAACTCGTTAAAATGGGACTTTCACATCGAAGCTCTATCAAAGAAACTAAGCGCTGCCTGTGTTGCGCTAAGATCAGTTTCTAAGGAACTTAACCTCTCAACCTCTAGAATAACATATTATGCTCTTTTTGAGTCACATCTTCGTTATGCCCTTCCATTCTGGGGTACTTGCTGCGCAACAAAATTTGATCGTGTTTTCAGACTTTACTTCAGACTCACTGCCAGAATTTCTTTAAAAATTTGAAAATACTGACTCTTCATTCTTTATTCATTTTTGAATCCGTTTGCTTAATCCGCAAGCACATATCTGCTATTCCCGAAAGGCCATCTCATAACTATCCACTTAGGAATGCAGAGCACGATCTTTATCTGCCAACCCCGAGCTCAGAACTAGTTAAAGGTGCAATACTGTACAATGCCAAAAAAATGTACAATCATCTGCCTTTGAATATTAAGTCGCTTTCATTCTTTCCCGCATTTCGCAAAGCTCTAAAATCATACTTACTGGCGAGAGCCCTATATGCGGTAAACGACTTTTTTTGTTGATGTTTAATTATGAACAATTTTGAATTTTAAAATTTTGATCATCTCACACACTGGTCAAAGGTCAAGTATTTAATATTTTATAACTATAAAATTATATCTATTTACTGCGTACTGTTCTAAAATTGTCCATGTATATTCTTTTTGTCATTTTAAAGACTTAATTTTTTTTGAATTGTATTATTTGTATTGTGTATTTTTTGTTGTTTGTATTTTTTTGTGATTTTGTTGTTTGTGAGTGCTTTGTCGATGAAGCTGTTTTGGCTTTTTGTAAAATAAAGCGTTGTTTGTTGTTGTTTGTTGTTAATTGAGATTGTTACTCCAAAGTTATTTTTAAACTACTGGGGCAATAGTAGCGCACCTGTACATAATTTTATAGAATATACATGGTTATTCAAAAACCATATAGAATATCTTGATCGTATGCTTCTAAACTAAAGTTTCAACATTTTAGATAGCATGCTGTATTTTTTTCTCAATATACTGGTTAAAGAACTATAAATATTACTTCTATTTATAATGTTTAATATAGGCAAATGTTAAAATGATGTATAGTTAAACAGTTTTATTAAATGCATCTAAAATAAATTAGAAGAATTACCTTGCATGCTAAAAACTCCAAAACACCAAAACACCGCGTCTGATAAAGCTACAGTAAACGGAACATTCGAGTCCAAGTGGAGCTTTTTACTGACAAGTAGGTACACAGACATGACTATTACACAAATAATACCAGTACCGAGTACAGAAAATAACATTTTTGATCCAAACGGTATTAGAAATATATCTCTAGCTGAATGGGATTCTTCTGGCTTGACGTAAATATTTCGACTAAAAAGATAAATTCAGTGTGTATTCTTTTAATTAATAAAAAATACTGTTGTAGAAATTAAAATATTTATATTAGCCACCGCATCTTAATAAAATAACTAAGCACCGAGCATCAATTTTTAACTTTAAATATATACCTAAAACAATTTTGTATACTTTCTTAAGCTTATACAGGGTCCGGCAATAGTGCGTCGGGCATCTTTAACTCTTAGAATGAGCAAGTTGAGAATTTTGTTTAAGTTCAAACATAAATGTATGTGCTAGGATGCATTTCGGGAAAATATTTTAATTTCTATAGGGTGGCTAAAAAAAGTGTGAGTGGACCGGGATGATTCTTTTAGATGGAACACACTGTATATTATTGCATTTTTGGTCCTTTCCTATCACTTTACATAATCCTAAGATATGAGTAAATATATTTCGATAATTTGAGAGATATTAATAAATAAATAAAAAAAATATATTTTTTATCCTATCTTAAGAAAATTATTAAAAATGCAAGAGCTGTCCTGAAATCAAAACTATATTAGGTATTTACTTTAGATAGTCCGTACTTACTTTGCTATAAATATGGTAATCGTAAATCATACAGGATGTTCAAAATTCTACGTTAAACTTTCTAAAATATAAAATGATTTTTCTTTGTTTTTTTAATTGGAACACCCTGTATATTATTTCTTCAATATGTTTTCGCGGATTTCCTATATCATATGGCATTTATCACAGTAAAATGGTGAAAGAGCGAACAAATTTTTAAAATACTTAAAATAAAAAATGTTCAATTTTTTAACTCTCCATCTAATAAAAACATAATGTACTGGGTATTCCATTTAAAAAAACAAAGAAAAAATATTTTATATATTAGAAAGTTTGGCCTAAAATTTTTAAGATTACGATATTTATAGCAAAGTAATATCTAATCTATCTAATCTATAGCAAAGTAATATCTAATATCTACTAATATAGTTTTGTTTTCAGGACAGTTGAAGAATGTATATTTTTTATTTATTTATTAATATCTCTGAACTCACCGAAATATATTTACTCTTATCATAAGATTATGCAAAGTGATCTGAAAGGAAGCTAAAAATGCAATAATATACATGGCGTTCTATTTAAAAAAAATCATCCCGATCCAAGGACAATTCTTTGAGCCACCCTATAGAAGTTAAAATATTTTCCTGAAGTATAATCTCGGACCTACGTGCTTTAGATCTGCACTTAAACAAACTTCTCAGGTGTTTTATTCTAGGAGCTACAGATGCCCGATGCACTATTGACGACCTTGTATAAATACAGCCATTCTTTATTATACTCTATGTATAGTTTTGGTATTAACCTTTGAATAAGAAGACTAAGGAAGGAGCGTATCAAAAGTCTTAGGTCCACCGCGATGGGCCTCAAATATGGCCGACTTAAATTCCGGTTTATCAGTGCCGTTCTAATTTTATTTAAAAAATGTAAAACTATGATGTAGGGTAGACGTGGGGTAGACTCAATAATATGTTGTTTTATTTGACGTTGTGAATAAATGTTGGTAGTTATTAAAATTGTTACTAAAATATATAATTCTAATTAAAATAGATAAGTTATAATAATTATTTATTAACACAAACATCCGATACGCTACTGAAGCAGGTAAATCTGGTAAATCAAATTGACGTATCTAAATTCTTTGACATCTAATCTTTGACAAGTAGTAAATAAAAGCAAAAATGCAAAAAAAAATATATAATTAGTTAATTTAAGTGAATTTCATAAATGATCGGTTTACTACACGTATGTATATTATATAGTCACTTACTAGCGAAAAGTTGTTCCATTATTTCACTCGATTTTTGCCGAGATCTACCGCACGCTACACAACCAACTATTTTAGAGTCTTTTTCGATAAATCGCGATAGTGTCACTGTTAATTTAAGTTCTGCCACAATTTCCATCTAGATTTACTACCTTTATACAGCTATCAGTAGTAGAATAAATAATAAATAACATAAACAAAGCTCCGTAAAGACTGACAAATCCATAAAATTTCAAATCAAATTCAAATGTGTCAAATGAATCGTCAAACAGAACTGTCAAGGATCCCCACCCTAGAGTGCTTTTTCCGCCCACTATGCATGAATATATGGATAGCATTATGCTCCTTCCTTAGTCTTCTTATTCAAAGGTATTAACCAAAAAATTAAAAAAAACGTATCATAGGGCTTCTTTTTTTGTCTTAAAAAAAGTAAAGATTTGAAGTTAACGTCTCCATTGTGCTGCCAGGGCTAATCTAGACGGGGCCTACTTTGTTTACGCGGAATCCGAACCGCGGTCCTCGGCCATATCATGGTCAATGGCCTACCGACTTGGCAAGTGACTAAATAGACTCTTACTCACGAGATATCCGATCTCATCCGGCCTCGAACCGGCGTGAATGAGCAGTGTGTGACAATAGATTTTACACTTTTGCCTTTATTGGACAACAGCACGATACAGTGTTTCGAACCGGTCACCCGTCCATTCACTAGTATCGCCTTACGTCGTTTAACTTCGGTGTTCTACTGCCCAAGTAGCATCTATCTGACTTCGAACTAAATCTGACCTGAAGCGACGTCAGACTTTGTGCAAATTTAGGTCGGGTGCTGGTGATACGACCGGCAACGTCGCTTTCCTATTAAAAGCGACGTCGTTGGATCCGAGTCGGTAAATACAACGATCTGTCGACGTACAAAATAACAACATACCATTTTTATTAATTTCCTAACGTCGTTCCCACGTTGGCTTGCACGACGTACATATACTTGAACTAGCCCGACGTCTACCCGTTGTCCGAATAGGATACGTCTCACTGATAATCCCTAAAGTAACGTCCAATTATATTTTGTTGTATTTTATGTTCATATTTATAACCTAATTTACGTATCTCTATTTACGTCCGTAAATACAACCCATTAAGTAGCATTTGCGCCCTAATAAACATCATGAACATAACCTAATAAAACGTTTTTGTAAACAAACTTTTTATTCATTTTTTTTATTATGCCTAAAAAAAACTAAAAAGGCATTTAGACATTCATCTACATTTAACAGAAAGAGGTCGAGGCTTTTGCAAAATAATAATAGTAGTAGTGATGTCTTGCCTCCACCCACGAATGCTTTTTATCCGGAAGAGATGCTGCATTACACTGGTGCATCTTAATTTCATTTTTTAGCTTAGGAAACCAGCAGACCCCATCCTCCTCCCACATGTGAGGTACTGGTCCAATTCTTTTAAATTTTGTATATATACTATCTTAAAAAAGTGGCTGCCCATTGTTTTAAAGAGAAAACAAAAACTAAAATATAGTTGCACAAATCCACAAATCACTGATACGCAAAGTGAGGTTACGCGGCGTACGTTGGAATTATATACGTCATAATACGATTGCCGGTCGTCCGGTTTGATGACTTCGGTCGTGTGAGACGACTAATGTCGGAGACCCGGTCGGAATTGGTATATTGGTAGTTCATATTAAGTCGGACACAAAAATCCGCCATGCTTAACAAGTATCCGGTTGTCAGCCATTTTAAAATCGTTTTTTGTTTTTAAAATTTATATTCACATTCCGATTTCTAGTAGAATAATATTGATAAGGTTGAGTTTGGGGGGAACCACAGTACAGTTTTATGATTAAACCAGTTAGAAAATAAAAAAAATATTTTGCGAGTTAATTTTTTTTATAGATATTTTTATTTCATAAATCTACCTAATTTTGAAGGCGCGTAATTTAATCATATATATCAAAAAAGTGACTTCCGTTGACAAAACTGATGTCTGGATTAATGATTCAGAATTATTATAATATGAAATCAGGTAGGCACTTATAGTTATATTCGAGGAGTGATTATGAATCCATTTGTAATTAAGTAGTTTGGTTATGTTTTTATGTATTCTTGGTAGCGAATATGAAACTAAACGTAACGTAAGTGCTTAGCGACGAATTTTAAGTAACTAAAATCCAACGTAATACGACGTTGGTAATTGTTAGAATTACATTCCCTATTAGGTCAGATACCGACGTCGAGGCGACCCGAATCTGTATTCCCCATTTAGGTGCAAATAAGGGTCGTCAAGCGGTCAAACCGACGTTGGTACCTGACGTCGGGTTTATTGAATGCGACGTATACCCGACGTTAGATAACGTCCAAATGCTACTTGGGTGGGAACCGGTGCTTTGGCGTAGCTGCGCCGTTGCCCTTTTTTTGTCTTATATTCTTAAAAAGCCATTTATTTCTGGTTATAATGTAGAGACGTAACTAAGTACATACATTGATTCCATAATGTCATGAGTGAAAGCCATATCATGGTATCTTTCTGGTACTTTTATCACCATGTCCAGACCCAGGTCAACTGATTGTTGAACAACAGCTCCTAAGAGACCATTCCAATTACCATCTGGCGCCTTCAGACCGAGTGTAGGGTAAATTTGTATTTTTTCTCTAAAATTTATTTTAATAATTGTAAAAAAATATTAATGAAATAGATATATTTTTTTCTACCACAGATGATAGTTTCATAGAGATATTAATCAATATCAATTAATATAACAATTATTTAAACTTACTTTGCATTGAGATATGTGGTAATATAATCCAATATTTTATCCATATTTTCTTCATCATTGTCATCTTCAATTAAATTTTCATCGGCTACTGTTGTTTCTTGTGTAAAAGTTTTCTTTCCAAAAATTAAAGGAAACTCATGAAAATTTGCTCTTTTCTCGATAAACTCGAACTGTTTTAAGGTTTTTGTGCCATATTCGATATCCCAAACGCCTATGGAAAACATTTGAAATTTGTGAAATAAAGTTATAACAGTAATATGAATGTGTAACGAGTCAGGGAAGATTTATTCAAAAATATTATAAAATTTTCGGAGTATCGATACTTAATGTTTCATACATGTTATTTAAAGCTATTTTTATTTAAGTTTTGAGACCCCATATTGACTGCTCTAGTCATTAACGCCTAGTTAAAGATATTTATTCAATGATTGAATTAAAGGTATTTATTCATCAGAATTCTACAGATTTAGGTGACATTTTTTTAAAGAAAATTGGCTAGCTTGTATTTTCATATACCGTGCTGGCAACTGTTACTCTTGGGTCGGTATTTACATGTGTGGAAGTAAATCGCATAGGGATCTTATTAAGTCGGAGTGAGAGAAACGCGATGGAGTGCTATTGCGGCGTTGCCGGTACGCCTTTCCCTATCAAGTGAAGTAAAATTACTATCGCAAACCGCTTATTTTTAAGACTTTTTTTTTGAAAAGATAACTAGATAAAATCATTAGAAATGTTTCTGAGCATCTGAAATGGAATTATAAGGATATCTTTAAGGTGTCATTTTTTTTATAACGAGAAAACGTCAGTAATCGCGATAATTTAAAAACTCAACTTTTTAACACATAACACGCCATAACTGAAGAAACACTTTAGATATTGAAACTTTTTTTTTATTTTGAAGTTTTGATTTTTTACAATATGTTAAAAATCAAAAATTGTAAACAACCCATCTATTTACTTTTAGAGCATAGCAATTTTCAGCAGTCGTGTAATTTTTTTATTGATCAAGATTTTCACTTACTGTCTACGAAGAAAATACAGCAGAAATATTAAGAAAGTTTTTGAAAAAATTACAATCAATTATTTCTAATAGATTTCGAGATATCGACTTTTGAATTCAGAGTTCTAATAGCCCGACCACTGCCGAAAACCAACTCAATTCCACTTATTTTTACCAAAAATGCAAGTGTTTCTAGCTTGCACTTAAAATTTTTCAAGCTATAGGGAAAATTACAACGATTCGTTAATAAATAAACAAATAAAGTATTATGAGGCGTAATTAAATTGTGAAGCTGAACGCATGATGTACACCTTTCCCTAGAACTTTAAGTACTGACAGAGGTACTGATTTGGTTTAGGTCGGCCGGTCAACTCCGACAAATCTGCTAAATCCCCTTTCACGTCTCTTAGCAATGTGCACAGTTTCTCGATTCATTTCATACGTTTGGCAACGTGTTTACTGTTCTTTCTTTGTTCAGTACATTATAAACGCATTGTACTCTTCTTACATACGGAAATCCCGACCCAAGACTAACCTTTGCCAGCCCTTAGTATAATTTATTACCGTGTTTTGCAAAACATTTTTAAACATGCCAACATTGTATTATTTCTTATTGCATGGTTTTATATATGCTACGGCTAAAATTGATTGATGAATTGGTTAGTTTTCAAACTGCTATCTACTTCTTAAAAAGCGCTGTTATTTTGTGGGTTAGATGTTAGTTTGCAGTTGTTGGTTCTACTCTTTGTTTAAAAAATAACTGGCTAGTTTGAAAACTAGCCAAGTATCCATTTTAGCCGTAACATATACATTGATATAATTTAATCGTGCATAACTTATTAGTTTATGATTCATCTTTCTTTTGTAAACAAATTTCGTGAAGAGGTTGAATTTGTGTATACTCCACAAGCCTTTAATATTAGAAACTTCACCAAAAAAGGCAGTTTACGAAAGTTATAGTTCAGTATACAGGGTTGTTCACCACATACGACACGAAGTATTGTAGCTAAACGACTAGATTTTTACAAATTGTAAGTTTTGGATTCGTTGAAGGACTATTAGAGCTACAATTTAAAAATATTTTTACAAAATACAGAATGTCCCAAATAAATAAAAAATATCAAAGTTGTATTTTTTTAAATGGAACACCCTATATATTATTACATTTTTAGTTTCTACGCTTAAAATAAAGGTAAATTTGATTAAGGTTTATTACACTTAAACCTTACCGTTTTTGAAATATTTTCAATTTTGTGAAATTGCAGTATAAATTTTAAGGCTTTATTTCTCCGAGGGTATCAAAGTTTTTATTACTAAATATTTACTGAAGTTTATTTATTGATCAGTTATTGTGTTGCAATAATAAAAACTTTACTACCTTATACAGAGTGTCTAAAAATTAATTTTAAATTATTACTAGCTTTAAACGGCAATAATTTGTTTAGTTTAAATGGAACACCCTGTATATTTTATGAGAATCAGATGCACAATTTAATTGTCTATGAAATTGTATTACCATTTTTTACCTATCTCTTCAAGTTTCCGTAGAAAATGCATTTTCTTGTAATTTAGAACCTATTTATCAATATACCCATGGAATACTGACATTTTAGATTATTTTTAAAGATGTACCAAATTTTTAAAGAGTACAGATACTAATATTGTCGATATAGTTCGTTTATTTCATTAAAAAAAACTGTTTAAATATTTGTTAAAAAGGACCAATTAATATGATTCCAGTATTCAAACTACATTAATTGACTGTTTGCGTTGATTAATAATAATTGCTCCAAATACTAAAAAGCTGAATTATGTATGTGTATTAGACAGTGTGGTAAAAAGTAACACCTTAAAAATGATATTTAATTTTTCGACAAATGCCTATTTATAACAACAGAGACGTTCATTTTCATAACTTATTATTATATTGATTTCTGATTCAAATCCACATTTATTTAAAATAATTTATTAACGAACACAATTAAGTATGTAGTTAATTAGTATTTTGGCGGAAATACTGGTGGTATATTTAATTAATGGTATACTCTTTTATAAAGATTTAAATATTTTTCTTTTTGCATACAAATGGGCTAGTAATATTTTCGTTTTCCTAAAAACGATAATATTACTAGCCTGTACATTTTGTACATTTGTTGTTTTAAAAACAATCTAAAATGCCAATATTCCATGGGTATATTGATAAATGAGGTCTAAATTATAAGAAAATGCATTTTCTACGAAAACTTGAAGGAATAGGTAAGAAGTGGTATAATACAATTTGATAGACAATTAAATTGTGCATCTGATTCTCATAAAATATACAGGGTATTCTATTTAATGTAAATAAGTTATTGCCGTTTAAACCTAGTAATTATTTAAAATACGATTTTAGACACTCTGTATAAGGTAGTATAATTTTTATTATTGCAACACAATAACTGATCGATAAATAAACTTCAGTAAATATTTAGTATTAAAAACTTTGATATCCTCGGAGAAATGAAGCCTTAAAATTTATACTGCAATTTCGCAAAATTGAATAATAATAATAATAGTCTAATAGTCCTTCAACAAACCCAAAACTTACAATTTGTAAAAATCTAATCGTTTAGCTACAATACTCCGTGTCGTATGTGGTGAACAACCCTGTATAATAAGAAAAAGAATAAGTTAAAGCAATAATTATTAGTCCAGCGAGTCAGTGAATATTTCGACGACATCAAAAAAAGACAGAAAATACAATTGATACAATTTATCTGTAAAAGGTAATACACACAACTGTCACTGTCAGGAAACCTCTTGTTATAAGCTGGGTGCATTTCAGTTCTTTTTAAAAATTCCTATCGCAGCGCTTGATACTGCCGGAATGAGAAGTGCCGGGTATAAAGTACTTTACGCAGTCCCGTTTCCGTTTATGTCGATCACATTGAAATCATATTAAAATCGTGGCTTTGTTATACTATTTAAATATTTGATTTTTTACTAGTGCAGTTATTGAAACTATAAAACCATCAGGTACGAGGTTAGAGTGATGCAACGCTGTTTCAGGTAGTAAAAATTAAGTAAAAAAACTAGGCGTCGTGCGTCGTGTGGTATAACAGTAATATTTGGTGTTGTGACAATTTGAAATGTTAATAAAATTGCCGAAAAAATCTTAAATCGTAAAGGAGGGTGTAATTAGGGTGCTGTTGGGTGCAATAACATTCAATAACTCAACTTTCCCAAAACAATATTTAATAGCTTCCGAGCTTCTCACAAATGGATTCAAGCAGTTCGACGAAACAAGTAAGTAAACAAAGTGGTTGTACTGGTAAGTAACTGTAAGTAAACAAAATCGTCAGCGAGTAATGGTAGTAGTAGTTTTACATAATCAAAAAATTAAATAGGTATATAATATGAGGGTATAAAATATAATTTGCAATATTAATAGTACACTTTTTTTAATCAACTAGAGCTTAAATTTTTAATAAATATCTTCTAAAATTATAATTATGTATCTTCAAAAATTCTTTTTTATAGTCCCAAGTTATGTCCCCACTAGCAAAAACTATTCTCGCTACCGTAGTTGAACTCATCTAAAAAGTTTTATTAGCTTCAGTAACAAATTATAAAACAAGTTAGACTATCTGAATATCAAAATATTGAGTTTTTTATTTTTTTTTAGAATTTTCACAAATTATACTTTCTAACACTTTTGAATAATTATATAAACCTTTGTCGTATACTCGCTCTATTTAAACACATGTATTTGTATATACCGATTGTTTACAATATTATCCAGTGGTGGCAGCACCGGCGGAGAATTCACCAAGCCTATACAATGTTATTTTTGGAGTATCGATACTTATTAATGTTTCATACATGACAATTAAAGCTATTTATTTAGCAAAATTTGAAAGACAATTTTTTTATGGTTTCATAGACATTGATAATTCGATGGTGCATAGCATATCAGATTGTGAGACACCTTTCTTTAAAAAAATTGTGAGAAGTTGCATTATAATAAATAGATTACCTAATGATCGTAAGACCAATGAATCGTTGTAATACCTTCTTATTTTGTATACTTGAATAAGACAATAATCAGTCAGTTCAGAATCACTATTTTTGCAGTGATCTTCTACAAATTTAGACGTTAAATTTAGGGTATTGTTATCTTTAAAAGGTAAAAGTGTATGCGAATCTTCTATGGACTGTTCTGTTTCAATGGGTCTGTATATTTTACAACCGGATATAATATCATACTAAAACATATAAAAGTAAATATAAAAGATATTACTACTCATTTCTTTTTTTAAGATTATAATATTTTTATTAAAATATGCTTATGATATACTAGAAATTAACATTTAAAAATCATACACAAATATAAATAATTACAAATAAGATAATAATGACTATAAGATAATTTTAATCATTTGACAATAACAAAACATTTTTTTACTATTGTCCTAAAGATAGAATTAAATTTTCATAAAAATAACGTTTAATGTTTAAAATCATTTGGTACCGAAATAATAGAACGTCTCAAATTTCACTAGTCTAATATACAGGGTGGTCAGAACTGTATTCCGGAAACTTTGGCAGTATATTCTGCAGATAAAAATAACTAAAAAAGTTCGTATAACTATATGTCCGAAAATGCTTAATTTCGGAGATACAGGTTGTAGAAGTTTCATTTTTATTCCTATTTTTTCCAAATAATTTTTGGAGTAACGTCAGTATTAGGATGAAAATTGGTGTCTGGGAGTGTTTGACATGAGAAATTTGATTTTGATGTCAATATGACTCCTATTTGTAGGGGGCGCCACTTACATGTCTTTTAACTGTTTTGAAAAGTAATAAATTTTTGTCCGTACCTGTATAAAACAACTGAGTGAAAAAATATACATTTCCGTAACTTTTTACGTAAAAAAGGTCTCTTGGCAGAAATCGCTACGAGCAACCGTTCTTAAGATACCTATTTAGAATGGAAATAGACAATACATGTCATTATTGACAAAAAAATAAACAGGTTGAGTAGATAGTTATTTAACTAAAATAATACATTTGGGAAATTTTTATTTTTAAAATTAATCATAAATTTTTCTGCGAAAAAATGATGATAAAATAGAAATTTGATTTTTCGGGTTTTTTGGCCGTCGTCCGCGTCGGTTAGTATTGCTTTATCCTCTGGGCTAGCATCCTCAGAGGTGTGTTTGCTCCGATTGCTCACACTAGACTGACCAGTCTATTCATCGTGTGAGCAATCGGAGCAAACACACCTAGACTGATCACTCTAGCGTGAGTAATCGGAGTAAACACACCTCTGAGGATGCTAGCCACTCGTGCTAGCGAAACGTTAGGAAGCAATTCTAACCGATGACGGCAAAAAAAAACACGAAAACCCAAATTTCTTCAAACGATGGCCGCGAAAGCCTAAACTACTATGATGATAAAATAGTTTCTGTTAACTTTTGGAACAAAAACATTTCAAATTTATGATTTCAGTCTAATAATTATTTGGTCAACATGTTTAATTTATGTCAATGACGACAGGTTTTCCAAATTTTCCATTCCAAATATTCCAAATTCCAAATATCTCGAGAAACATTACTCGTAGCGATTTTTAGAGAGATATATAAGATATAAGAAAAATATCGTAAATGTATATTTTTTGTTTAGTAGTTTTATACAGGTACGGACGAAAAGTTATTACTCTTCAAACCAGTTAAAAATATATAGGTGACGCCCAAGGATACTATAGAGATAAGGATAGTTCGATTCCTATCTTCCTGCACTGTCAGTTTTTTTACGTCATCTACTGACCGAGTTGAAGTTGGCGCTAAAGATTTTAGACAGTGACAGTTATTTTTGCATTTGACGGACGAGCGCACAGTGCGTTGGAAGATAAATTTAGCGGGACAAAAGCGTTTGGTTAGAAATAAGCCAAAAAAGTGTACTGATAAGAATAAATAGTAGACATTCCAATTGATACAAAAATGCATGAATATTCTTTGTATTCCGATACATTTTTATCAACCAAATTTGGTCGTTTTCTGCTCAGCAAGGCAGAGATCATACGAAAACAAAATATTCACAAGTGCTTATACATTTTATTAGAAAGCCAAATTATGTTGAAGATTGCCAAAGGTATGTACTTTTCTACTGTACGTATATTATTTGTTAAAACCCTTCGTGCCTTTGTTCTGCAGATATCAAACTTACACTTTTTTTTCAAATATCGATATATTGAATGATGTAGATCTTTTGAGTTACCAATAGTTACCAACACAGGTAGTCGCAGTCACAGGGAGTTCAAGCTTAACAGGTGAATGCCCAAAAAGATTCATTTCAATCGGATAGTATAAAAACAAAACAACTCCATCAAAAGGCACTGAGTTTAAAAAATTGTCTTAGATACTTAATATATGAATTTACAATTACCGAGTGTTAAAATTAAAATTAAAATATCTATCTTATTTATTATTTTCAAAATAAAATATATTTTTTTAAAATAAATTATAGAGGGTGTCACAAGATTACAAATTAATTTAAAAATAACTGCTAAAGAGTTTTTTGATATCATAATTTTATGTATTTGGCAATAGTTTACAATACGGTTTTTGTGTATCATGTACGAATAATATCATATCGTTTTATTATCTTGTATTTATTTATTAATAAATTAAGTTGTTAATAAATAAATAAATTTAACCATATAGTTGCTATATATTAGACCATTTGCTACGTTCTTAGATTTTAAGTCCCAAACATTGCTCTTGAGATTTTGTCCCTCTAGAATAACCATCCGCCGCACTGTGGAGCGCTGGTCAGCGCGTGACGTAGCATTCCACGGCGACTACGACAGCGGCGATTTGACGCGATTACAGTCCTTGGGTGAGGCCCTCTACAAGTAGGAGCCGTATTGCAAAATAAAAACACTAAATCACCACAATACACCAAAACACTTTTACTTTTACACTGGACGCGCGTTTCGCTAACCATGTTAGCATCATCAGCAGATGATTATGAACTTAAAATTTGAGTTTATAATCATCTGCTGATGATGCTAACATGGTTAGCGAAACGCGCGTCCAGTGTAAAAGTAAAAGTGTTTTGGTGTATTGTGGTGATTTATTGTTTTTATTTTGCTGTGTAACACCACAGGTTCCAACCCTCAACTGTAAGGAGACGTATTTACATCAAAATTAAACTTCTCATGTCAAAAAACTCCCAGACACCAATTTTAATCCAAATATTGATGTTGATGTGGAAAAAATCGAAATAAAAATGAAACTTTATATATTTCAGAAACTAAGCCCCCAATTTTAGGACATATTACATTTATACGAACTTTCTTACTTATTTTTATCTACAGAATATACTGACGAAGCTTCCGGAATACAGTTCAGATCACCCTGTATAACCCAAAAAATATTTGGATATTATGTTATTGATGTTTAAAAAATAGGTAGGTACTTACCTGTTGGTATTTGCTTATAGATTCTAGAACAATAACTACATCAGAATCAATTGATAGAGTGCTTTGAGATAGAACGTCAAAAACGGCATTGACGCTAGCTCCAATCTTTACAATATTAAGCCATTTTACATAACCCACCGTGTATGAAACTACATTTGCCTGAAGATATAACAAATAAAAAAGTAAGTATTTATAATAATAGTCTCCCATATTCAGGGTGGTGCCTCCCATAAATATGATGCGGATGCTCCAAGGAAAACGACAGTTTGTATTGAAATGAAATTTTGTGAGAATATGTAAGTAAATTTAGAGCATTTTTAAAAATATATAGTGCTCTACAGGGTATCCCCAATAGAACATTATATACCAGGTGCATCTCAAAAGTGGCTCACCCCCTATAACTTTTTTATTTTTTCAGATAAAAAAAACATCTGGAATGTTAGTATGTGACATAAATTAGGATTGATTGTCGTAATCAATTGATTTTGGTCAGTTCCTGTTTCACCGGAAATTACTACAAGTTTTGATTTTTAAATGGCACCCACGGCATTTTTTACTTTATTTGATAGAAAATGTCATTCTGAATAGAATGACATGTAACACATCAAATTTTGACATTTTCGCTTTAAAAAATTCGTATTTTTAATTTCAATCTAGAGTGCCATGGCTGTGTTAAAAAAACTAATTTTTAATCCATGGAGCCTTGAAGAAATAGATTTGATCTTCTAGTGTTTTTCGTGTCTTGTCCTGGCCAGTTAAAAGATGCCCAAATCGTATTTTTAATCATATCTCATTTTTTTCAAATGGAACGAGAGTGGCTCATTAGCATATTTGAGAAAAAGCATTTTTTTACGAATAATTTGGTAACAGACACTTGGTATTTCGAGTCAAATTATCGTGATAATTCGCATGTTACAATTTCAAATAAATCATATGAGAAAATGTTAAAAGTTGACATATGATATGTCATTCTACTCAGAGTGTCATTTTATATCGAATTATGTAAAAAAATACCGAGGGTGTCATTTAAGAATCAATAGTTGTTGTCATTTCCTATATGTACTAACATTCATACAGTGTGTCCACGGATTGACTCCCAAAGAGGGAAAATTTTTTTATTCGTGGGTTTATGAAAAAAGTTATTCTTCATAAAAACTCCTGCTTGAGCTTAAACGACCAACAGGAATATTATTTTTACATATGTATATACCGAGTGTTAAAAAGTCTAAAAAATATGGAAAACGCTAAGAACAAAGTACTTGTATATGTAAAAATACGATGAAAAGTTATTAATAAAAGTTCTAGGGATTGAAAAACTACACCACGTTACCAAATTTTATCTCACTACCTAAAACGTACAGGGATTGGTAAAAGATTCCTCTCCATATAAAATACCATTTACTCTAAATTAACTTAATTTCTTTTTGAATAACTTTTAAATCCTTGTTTACCTTTACGCAATTTCATTACTTCCCTTTTTAAATTAACCAATGGAGGCTATAAAATAAAAATCGTACACGATTAATTATTAAACTTTTTTTTTAGAAAACGAATGAAAAATAAAAAATATTGTTGCAAACAAATCATAGATAATAAAGGCAGGTTGTAGCAGTTGTTATTCCAAAAAAATTAATTTAGAGTAAATGGTATTTTATGTGGAGAGGAATCTTTTACCAATCCCTGTACATTTAGGTAGTGAGATAAAATTTGGTAACGTGGTGTAGTTTTTCAATCCCTAGAACTATTATTAATAACTTTTCCTCGTATTTTTACATATACAAGTACTTATTTGTTCTAAGCGTTTTCCATATTTTTAAACACTCGGTATATACATTTGTAAAAATAATATGCCTGTTGGTCGTTTAAGCTCAAGCAGGAGTTTTTATGAAGAATAACTTTTTTTCATAAACCCACGAATAAAAAAGTTTTCCCTCTTTGGGAGTCAATCCGTGGACACACTATATATTAGGGTGGATCGTAAATCTCAAAATTTTAAAATTTTTAAAACATCGACTTGGAATACCTACGAAAGTTGCCTTTGGTAATGTTGATAAAAAAGTGTTACTACAACGTTTTAATAAAATCACATCTTCTGCCCTCTACCAGCCCTTGAAAGATCGATTTGGAATATCTACCAAAAGTTACCTTTAGTAATGTTGATAAAAAAGTTTATTTAAATATTTTTGATTAAATCACGTCTTCTGTCCTCTACCGGCTGTTAAAAATTGAAAAAAAGAATTTCAAACCGAGAATCTTGCCTGTTTGATAACCGCGCATGCAAATGCGAATTTTTTGACCAATGTTCTTGCGAAAAGGAAAAAAGGTACCTAAAAATGAACAGGTTTTTTTGATAGATCAGAGGGGGCTTAGAAAAATGGTTAATAGGAAAATTGATATAATGGAAACCTCAAAGCTGATAAACAAGGCCAGCAGAAGAGAAAAAGATATGCAACGGATAGAACTACAATAATCCATCCAACATGAAAGCAACATCAATTTATCAAGGAAGCGAAAGTCATCGACAGATATAGAAATTGATCATGAATTGCCTTCCACTTCCTATGACAGTATCAAGAGAAAAATCCAGCGTACAAAAATGTTGTCAAACTTCCTACCCTAGCTAAAGTTTGTGACCGCCTATGGACTATCAGATAGATCTACAGAAGCAGTGGCAACGGCAGTGCTATACGACCTTGGAATTGTCACCAAAGACGATAAAAAAAAACATTACAGATCTCTCTCGTTGTAAGCTGAGAAGAGCAAGAGAGCCAACAAGAAACAGTTTTAAGCAAAACTCCTCGGAAACTTTGAAGGCCATTTATTTTGACGGAAGGAAAGATAAAACCTATGTTATTGAAAATATTGAAGGCAAGTCCCACAGAAGAACTGTACTTGAAGAACATATTTCTTTATTTCAGGAGCCGGGTTCTATATTTTTGGGTCACGCAGTTCCCAGTTCTGTATCGGCTCTAAGCATTTGTCAAAGTATTGTGAACTTCTTCGAAAGTAATGAATATAACCTAGAAGAACTAGTAGCAGTAGGATGTGATGGAAACGTGGTGAATACAGGGAAAAAAATGGTGCAATTTCTCAATTAGAATTAAAATTAGGACATTTTACAAAGATTGGTCTGCCACAAATCCCACAAATTAATTTTGTAATAATCCCACAGATCTAATTGATTGGAAAAAAAATGAAATAACTTGTCCCCCATCTGATATATACCTTCGACATTTTTGATAGTGTCTCTAATTCCCACGTACAATCATACGCCGATGACACGCAGCTTCTCCATTATTTTGATCCAGTAAATTCTGATACGGCTTCTCTTCTATTGAACCTAGATTTGGAGTCTATTTTAAAATATTCTACTGAACACAATTTGAAAATAAATGCCAATAAAACTGAAGTTCTTTTGTTTTGTTCAGAGAAGAAAAGAGCAACTTTACAGCGAAGCATAACACTAAGATTAGCTAATGAAAATCTACGCTACTCAGCTTCCGCTAGGACTTGGGACTATATATTGACACGCATCTTAGGTTTAAAGAACATATAAAGAAACTTTTGCAAACAACTTACACGAGAGTCAAAATATTATATTCCAATAGATACATTTTAAACTTTAAGATGCGAAAAAAACTGTGTGAATCCCTGGTACTGTCTGTTTTCAACTATGTTAATATTGTTTTTTATCCATGTTAGGATCTGGTTTCTAAAAACAGATTACAGTATGTACAAAACGTTTGCTGTCGCTTCATTTTTGGTCTGAGGAAGTACGATCATATCTCTGCTCGTATTAATGAATTAAAGTGGCTTAAGATTTCAAACACTGTCAGGCTGCATTTCGTCATGTTTCTGTTTAAAGTTCGTAGCACATCCACCCCTATATATCTGAGTGAAAACTTATTCCTCGTAATGTCATGCATAATTGTAATATAAGACACCATAATCAACTGACCATGCCTCAACATAGATCCGCCCTTTTTCAAAGAAGTTTTACCTATATGGCCGTCACTAGTTACAATTCCCTTGATAATGATTTTAAACAATGTAATTTTGGCCAATTGCGAAAAAAATATAAAATGTTTCTTTTATCTTCACAGGAATGATAATGGTTTTGTATTTTTTGTTTATTTTTTTAAAATTATTTATTATGCCATGTGTATAAGAATTAACTATGTATATTTTTTAATTTGTTAGTTTATAGAACATATTTTTTTGTCTTTTTTGTCTTTTAAACGTATTTTTCAACAAATATCTTCTGGCAGCTATGGGTGGTTAAATGTAAGAATAACTTTTTTTGTTAAATTTTGCCACCCTTGTTGCATGATGTGTAATAATATATGTAATGTTACACATCTTTTTTTCTTCAATAAAGACGATTATTATTATTATTATTATTATTATTGTTCCAAACTTTGGAAGTAGATGATTTGAAAAATATGATTTTTAGTTCTTCTGAAACTTCTGATCATCGCCATCGCTGCATTTCCCAGTCACACTCAATCAGTAGAGAGATGCATAAAACTTGTAACCGACGCATCTTTATCAGTTGCAGGCATACAAAAGAGAGACAGTTTTATATATAAAGACAAAAATAGATTCGCGCAAACTTATGCCACAATTTGAGTCCAAAAAGACTACAATCAATAAGTGAGCTAAAATAAATGGACGAGGGAGGGTGGGATGAAACTCGCCGAGCAATTACCTCCCCGTGGTGAGTTCTGGGTTGTTTAACAATACTGAATTCATAAAATATTGTTAAACAAGCGAAAAACTGCTCTAAGTGCTCAGCTCGGCACATTTTTAACTCTTTGTTAAAGTATGTAAATATTTGGGTATTTATAAAAAAATTGTTTGACCTTCGTACACAGGGTACACTGAGTAGGGGGGTTAAAATGTCATATTTCAGTAAGATATATTATTTCTAACTCCAAAAGTAACTTATTACCTGAAATTTTGGCTAAAAATCAAAATTTTATATTTTTGTATTTTTTACTTTTTTTGAAGCCCGGTAGAGGGCAAAAGATGAAAAAAAAATTGAAAAACTTTAAATAGATATTAGTTTTCTAATACCAATTGGCAACTTTTGCGAAGTATTCCAAAACGATTTTCAAAACTTCGATTTTTCGATCCACCGTACTGTATATGTACTAACATACCAAATCTCGTTTTTTTAACTGAAAAAATAAAAAAGTTATAGGAGTGAGCCACTTTTGAGACGCACCCGGTATATTAATTGATTTCCGAATTCTAAAAAAAAAAGTTTAATTAGATAAGTATGTGATTAAAATATAAAATATTTGACATATATTTAAAAACATTTTAAATTAAGAAGACATTTTTAAATCTTACTTCCTAGATTAAACTGATACTTATAAAGTTTGAATATTTCTCATGGTAACGATTTTCTTACAGTAAAAGAATAATTACAATTGAATTGTTATTTTTAAAAGGCTTTACTGAAGAAACTGAAAGGTTTGATATATGAATATAATGTAAAATAAAAGGGGTGAAGGGTTCTTGCAGTATTAATATGTAATATTTAAATAAAAATATCTTTTGCCATATAACTGCTCTTTTGTAAAATTTTCAGCTTTCAAAAATAATGAAAAACTGAAAATAACAAAAAGTTAAAAGTAAACAAGCATAACTTTTGTCATTATTTTTGAAAGATGAAAATTTTACAAAACAGCAGTTATATGGCAAGAAATATTTTTATTTAAAAAAGGAATATAATATATCGTATGATTAGATAAAAAATAACTTTTTTATTGTCATACGATTAATGATCATATTACTGAGCATTCTTGCCTGTTCCAAATATCGACTCTGGTTAAAATCTTCTCTTAAAAAAGACACCATCACAATTGAATGGCGACGAAAGCAATCCATCCTTCTTCGAAAACTTACAGATATTCCGTTTGCATAAAAACACTGCATGTTTTTTCTTAGTATTGAAAAGTTGCATCCTGAAAATTTCTACACTGTAAAGACATATTCTGTCTAACCAGAGAATATAGGACAGTACTAGCTTTTGTCTTTCAAACGACACAAAATATTAATTATTGCGACGCGATTGACAATATAAAAAAGTAATTTTAACGCCTAGGCATGAAAGTAAACTACTTTTACGCCTAAGCAACGCTTAAGCATAAATATACGAAAATATATTATTAAACTGACATAAAGTGTCAAATTCAACGAGCGTAATCATACCATAGTTTCTCGATATATAATTACATATATAGCCTCTCATACGCCGCGGAAGCTCCAAGGAGAACGGTAGTTTATATCAAAATGAAATTTTGGCAGCATATGTAGGTTAACTGAGAGCATTTTATAAAAATACTAGCGTGTACCAGCGACTTCGTTCGCGTCGAATTAATTATTTGTAATGGTGATGATAAAGCAAAGCAAGAATTTCCATTAACATACAAACTGGACAAAATTTTCTCACATTTATGTCAGCATGAGAAAAAACAATATGGCGATATTATTATATAACTTGGTAATATTTGAGGGGTAGTTTCATCTCGTTGGAATTTGACTTTCAAAAAATCCGTTTGCCAAAAATAAGCTTTTTACGTCAAGCAGTTTAAGCAGAATCGTGGTTACTTTTTGGAACACCCTGTATGATTTTTTAAAAAATTTCAAAATATGTAAAAAAACCAAATAAATTATGCTTGTCCAAGAAGACTAACCGTTTTTTAAATAACAAATATTGTAATATTTGAGGGGCGTTTTCATCCTTTTGGAATTTGAGATTCGAGAAACCCCTCCTTATCGAACGTCTACACCCCATAGTCAATCCGTTTGCCAAAAATCAGCTTTAAAAGTTAAGCAGTTTAAGCAGAATCGTGATTACTCAATGGTCATATTTTATGAAACTCCCTGTATAAATTTATAAAAAATCTTAAAATATGTAAAACAATAAAATAAAATATACGTGTTTAAGAGTTTTTCCGAAAAACTCACCGGTTTGTAAATAAAAAAAATATTTTAGTATTTGAGGAATAGTTTCACCCCCTTAGAATTCGAGTTTCGAAAAATCCCTTCTTATCAAACTTCTACACCCTAAAGTCAATCTGTTTTCCAAAAATGAGCTTTTTACGTCAAGCGCTTTAAGCAGGATCGTGATTAATCAATGACCAGATTTTTCGAAAACCCTGTATACATTTTTAAAAAATCTTAAAATATGTAAAAAAACAAAATAAAATATACGTGTTTAAGCGTTTTTTCGGAAATTTGACCGTTTTTTAAATAAAAAATATTGTAATATTTGAGGGGTGGTTTTACCCTCTTGGAACTGGAATTTAGAAAAATCCCTCTCTACTAAAAAAACCTCTACACCCTAGAACCAACCTGTATGCCAAAATTGAGCTTCTTACGTTGAGTGGTTTGAGCAGGATCGTGATTAATCAGTATGTCAGTCACTTAAGGATTTTATATATTAGTATAGATATAGAACTTTAGAGGGTGTCCCCAAAAAAGTTACACATCAAAGTTGTGTTTTTTTCTAATGGAACACCCTATATATTAATTGATTTTCGCATTCTAGGAAAAAATAAAGGTGAGTTTTATTAAAGAAGGATATACCTAAAATCTAAAGATTTTGACATATTTCACATTTTGTAAAAATGAAAAGTAAATTTTAAATTTTGATAACAGCTACTTAAATTTTAGTTGACCTTGTATAGCCTGATATTTAATTACAGTAGCCATTGTATGTTAAACCAAATTGAAATTTGATCCGAAAAGTTATACAGGGTGTGATAAAATTAATATGGAATATTAGTCACTTTCAAAAGCAAGTTACTCCTTTATTTTAAATGGAACACCTATTATATATTTCCGGCGTTCAATGGGGAATTTAAAATGTCTTCAAAATATTATTAAGGTTGCCTACCCCTCAGACAAAGATTTTCCCAGATATTTTAATTTTTATGATTTTGCGTCAGTAAATCTTTATTATTTGAAGAAATCTAGGTGGCTGTGTGATATACCTTTTGTCAATTTAACAAAAATTAAAGATTGTAGAGTAAAATACTCAAGGGTAATAAAAAAAGATACACGTTTAAAACATATTTTAATTACTAGAGACTTAAATTGTTAAATTAAAACTAATAGAATTATATCAATTCTCTCTGATGTAGGATAAGTTTGCATTTCCGGCAAATTTCTGAGAAATTTTTTTGTTTTAACTGACACAAAATGATAAGTAGTCGTTAAAGTTGGACTAATAATTAGACAGCTATGTTGAAGTAACGTCAGATATATCACAGCCACCTAGATTTACTAAATAATAAAGATCTACTCAGATCAAATCCTCCCATTCCTGCCAAAAGTCACTAACTTACTTTTTTTACTTCCAAGAAAAATGCGTCTAAAGACTCTAAAGATGAATTGCATTGCATAAAGATGTTATAGTTAGTAACTATTCGGTATTAAAATAAAACATAAATAGCCAGAAATCGTAGTTAATGACTTTTGCTATCGATTCTCCGCTTCAAAACATAGTTAGTGATTGAATTTGGTTGTTTGGAAAAATGTTAGTGACTTTTGGCAGCAATAGGACGAAATCATATAAATAAAAATATCTAGGAAAACCTTTGTTTGAGGGGTAGGCAACCTTAATAGTATTTTGAAGAGACATGAATTCTCCATTGAATATAGGAATAATATACTGGGTGTTCCATTTAAAATAAGAGAGTAACATGCTTTTAAAGGGGACCAATGTTCAATATTCATTTTGTGTCACCCTGTATAACTTTTTGGATCAAGTTTTAATTTAATTTAAAGTGCAATAGTTAATTTAACTATATATTAGGCTATACCGGGTAAATTCCAATTTAGCTAGCTTTTATTGTAATTTAAAAATTGTTCTCTATTTCTAGAAAATGTTAAATATGTCAAAAACCTTATATTTTAGTCATATACTTCTCTTATAAAACTCACGTTTATTTTTCTTCCAGAATCCGAAAATCAATTAATATATAGGGTGTTCCATTACAAAGAATACAACTTTGAGATGTAACTTTTTTTGGGGACATCCTGTAGAACTCTCTATATTTTTAAAAAGTGCTCTGAATTAACTTACATATGCTCACAAAATTTCATTTCAATACAAACTGTTGTTCTCCTTGCGGCGTATGAGAGGCGCCACCCTGTACAAGGTAGGTATTAGTTTTAAATCTTTTTATATTATTTGAAACGTTTGAAATTGTATAAAAAATTATTTGTGGCGTTTGGTTTGGGGAAAAAAAATCTATTCGGAGTAAAAATGACTTTTGTGGCTCGCCTGAATGTCAAACGTACAGCCTCGCCACGAAAAGTGCCATTTCTGTTAATAAAACAATATACTACTGTTTTTTATTTCAGTATAAATATATATATATATTTTCTTCTGGCAGCTGTTGGATGTCTTCTGTTCAAATTATTCCTCTCGATGGACCAAACTTGGATCTCTTATTTCTCTCGCTGGACAAACACAAAAAAATTGATGACGAAAAAATATACATACTTTAATTTTAGCGAGTAAAATAACATACTTTTAATGGTTGGTAATTTAGATTATTGTACTGCTACTTCAATCAGAGAAAAAGTCAAGAAATTATTGAAAATATCGGGTTTAACATTTAAAATATATTACAGTTGAGGGTTGGAACCTTTGGTGTTACACAGCAAAATAAAAACACTAAATCACCACAATACACCAAAACACTTTTACTTTTACACTGGACGCGCGTTTCGCTAACCATGTTAGTATCATCAGCAGATGATTATAAACTGACCAGATGATTATAAACTAGTTTATAATCATCTGCTGATGATGCTAATATGGTTAGTGAAACGCGCGTCCAGTGTAAAAGTAAAAGTGTTTTGGTGTATTGTGGTGATTTAGTGTTTTTATTTTGCTGTGTAACACCAAAGGTTCCAACCCTCAACTGTAATATATTTTAAATGTTAAACTCGATATTTTCAATAATTTCTTGACCTTTTTCTCTGATTGAAGTAGCAGTACAATAATCTAAATTACCATCCATTAAAAGTATGTTATCTTACTCGCTAAAATTAAAGTATGTATATTTTTTCCTCATCAATTTTTTTGTGTTTGTCCAGCGAGAGAAATAAGAGATCCAAGTTATAGTAAAATATATGAATTATCTATTTAAACTCCTCTGATATGTTTTTATTTCTTCCTCTAGGAGATGCGAGGCCTTGTCGTTGGTGGGGAAGCTCCTAGTACCTGGGCTGGGTCTAAGGAGCATCTCATTGTCTTGTACCTGGTTGTAGTGTTGTGGCCAGGAAATTGCACCAAGACGTATAACTGCCGGATAGGACTACCCTGTCCGTTATACCAGGCACTCTCTACTGTCTGTGGTCATGTATCACTGGCAGAGGGTATGGGGGTGATCTTGGTTTAACCGCCCGGACCAAGAAACGACTTCACCAAAAAGCAAAAATACCAAAAGACCTACATCACACAAAATCTCAACGGTAGGAAGGTATATACTCTCGTAGGAGGTAGATGTCTACTCCTCGGATGAACAGCTGTTGTCACAGGAGGATGGGAAAATACCCTGTCCCCTCTACAACAGGAAGATGCGTACATATAATGAGTTATAGATTGTACGATGAAATCAATAGATCTTTAAGGTCGCGGTTAACCTCCTTCCACTCATTCTATATTCTATATTCTACATACCTGAATTGATATGCTCATCTATTATTACAACGTGGGGAGTGTTTCTCCATATGGAATACTGAATTATCATTTCAACTATCGCATTAGTGATAACTGGCGAGCATTTTAAATGCAGTTGCGACTGCTGCTTTCCAAGAGACAAACCTTCAGGCCTATGGTTTTGTCCATTTATTGACCGTATAGAAATATTTAATATTATACATGACAAAACAAGCTTAATCCAACACATATTCTTTTAAGAATTTAAGAGGGAATGAAAATTGATTGATAAAATAAATTCTTTGGTGAATTCATGTAGGAACCTAATTGATTTTGTTAGATACTATTCTGTCACGAAAAAGTATCATCAAAAAGCAATTAATACCTAATAACAATGTTAGTTACTAAGAAGTTGTAGTTAATTAAAAGACTAATTAAATCATACTCCAAAAAATAAAATAACTTAAAAAAAAAACTTTTTTGTTCATAACGTATTTGATTTTTGTTATAAATCACAGGTTTTAAATAAAACTTCTAATAACTACGGTAGTAATAGGTACTACCGTATGATTGAAACAAAATTATATGAAAAAAAAAAACGGCGTCTAGTTGGCTAGGAAATGAACATCGATGACGTTTCCCATATAATTTTACATATAAAATGACAGCGATCTCCTTTTCCTATAGCCATCGCTTAAGCCGTGTTTTTATCTTATTGTACCGTATGATCGAAAAAAATGGCGTCCGGTTGGCTTGGAAATGACGATCGATGACATTTCCCATATAATTTTACATATAAAATGAGAACCCATATGCACGTCTCGGGCGAATATGTCAACAATTTTTTAGCATTAAAATATGTCGCATTTATATAGTAACTTCTTTCCTCAAAATTTCATTCGAAACGCTAAAAGTACTTGGAAGAAAATTATAATAAATCGTGTACGAAACAAAGCAGAATCGGACATATGTTGATATCAAAAATAAATATTATTTTTATATGAGAAATCTCCGCACGAAAGATGGCACATGTTTGTTGAAACACACTGTATACCAAAAAGCTCTAAACCAGAGCTCTAAACTCAAAGTCTAAACTATATGTTTTATCATACTTTTAAAACACACCTTGTATATTAATTAATTACTAAAATTTATTATGTCATCATAGATAAATGACTTATAATATGATGTCATTTTTGATAAAAAGTTTTCACTTTAAAAAATTGGGTTTTATATATTTTTGCGATATATGAGAACTGATTTTGAGTAGAAATAATATTAATATAATATAACTAGATGTTAAAAACTATTAGCTATGAAAAATGCAACAGTTTTAGAAAATTTTATTATTTTTTGGAAAACGGTAAGGGACCACTACTAAAAATTATTAAAAAGTACAAAAATGTCTCCATTTTTCCCCATTAATTACTTTTTTGTATTGCGAGCAGCTAATGAAATAAAAAGAAATTAATATCGTTAATATTTTTAATGTTTCTATAAGGTTTCTATAAGAGTATCGATAACTGTAAAAATCGATATTCAGACCCCTTCCTATATTGACTTTTTGTTTTGATTTTTCTAACCTAAGATTTCTAAAACAGTTTCCAATTTGTTCTGTGTTTCAAATATAAAAAAATGTACCGATTAGCTGTATACATACTTCCTTTTCTATTACTAGTTGTAATTAGAAAATACAGAGAAAGAAAATGGGGAAAATGTCTCAACAAAGTTAAATTAGATGGAAAAACGGTTCTTATTACTGGAGCAAATTCCGGCATAGGATATGAAGTGGCCAAAGAATTGGCTTCCAGGAGTGCTCAAGTGATTTTGGCCTGCAGAACTATGGAGAAGGCGAATTTAACTATCACGAAATTACAAGAATCTCTGGAAAACACTCCAGATTTGGTAATAATATCAAAAACTTAAATGTAAACATTTTTTAAGTGTGGTTTTTAGATCCCCATGGCTATCGATCTAGGCTCTCTGGAATCAGTGAAAGAATTTGCTTCTTTAGTAAGGAAAAGCTGTTCAAAAATAGATATTATGATTAATAATGCGGGAGTGGCGTATCGAAGATCAGACCGATTAAAAACACAAGACGGTTTTGAAATTCATTTCGGTGTTAATCATTTGGGCCATTTTTATTTGACGCTTTTGCTTGAAGATCTTGTTGCAAAAGCTAAAGGTAAAATGAATACCAGTGTGTTATAGTTTTCTAAATAGACTGTTTGACATATAGGGAGAATAGTGGTTGTCACCTCTTCCCTACTTGAAAAGGGTAAAGTCGATCTTAATGCTATAAAAAAGTTTAATTTCGAACAGAAGGTGAATTTGTACGCTAACTCGAAGCTTGCCAATGTTTATTTTGCTCAAGAATTAGCTAGAAGAACTAAAGATAAGGTAATTTGGTTATAATTTTAGTATACAGTTACTTAAATTGTTTTAAATGATATATTGATTCTTTAGGAAATCAGTGTATATGCAGTATGTCCTGGCTGGGTATATACCGGACTATTTCGGCATTCCTTTAGATGGTATCATTATTTCTTTGCTCCAGTTGCCTTTCTGTTTATGCGAAGTCCTAAACAGGTATTTTTTTTAAATTTTATATCATTATGATAAATTTAATGAATTTTACTTTCAGGGAGCTCAAACAGTCATCTATTGCGCTACTGAGCCAACTTTAGACCAAGAAAGTGGTTTAATTTATCGGGATTGTATGTTGTACAACAGTAGAATCATATTTTTTGATAAATTAGCAAGAGATCTATGGAGTGAATCTGAAAATATGATTTCAAGTGTTATAAAGAACCAATGAACAAATGGATGGGAGTTGTTATTTAGTTATTATTTAGGGTGTAATGTTGTATATTTTATTTATATTTGTTTATCTGTAAATTTAAATAATAAATTGAATTGAATTGAACTGTTTTATTGACTTATTTTTAGATAAAAGATGATTTATAACTAGATATCATCTCCTTATACATACAGGGTGTCCCAATATTCTGTGGACTCTAGCGGGCACAAAATTTAAAAAAATAACACATTTTTTAGATATTTTAAGAGCCGTTATTCCGATTTGAATGATATTTTGGGTGTCTATATTTTTCTAAGTGCTTATTCCTTTTAGCTTTCACAAAAATCAAGAAAAAGCACGGGAGAAGTGAAAACTACCCCTATCCCTACATAAATTTTAGTATAAATTAATATTTTCCAACTCCCTCGACGATAGATTTTCTTTTCCTAAAATTGTCCCTCTAGTATTTAATATATTTTTTGTCTCTTGCAAAAAAATGCTACATCGCATAGTTTTTGGGAGATCTTTTTTGGAGAATTTATTTAGCAGACCTACAAAATATACAGGGAGTTCCAATATTCCGTGAACAAAACGACTACCTGCTTCGTTTGTCCGTTAGGGGGCATCAATCAAAAATAAACCGGAACCACAGCCCGAACGTAATTTATTTAAAAATTATTAATTTTTTAAGCTTTTTATGGAGCTTATTGTCGAATATAAGTTCTGATACTAACATAAAATTCCTTCTTTCTTGCATTTTTCTCAAAATGACAATAATAAAAAAAATGTTTCTCTTGTAAAGACAATTGGAGGGCATACTGCATATTTTAATAAATATATTATTTGCTGGATTTCTAAACATACATCACACTCAAGGTGTTGAAATAAAATAAGATGTTTCCATTGCTCTCTATTTTTTTATTGATTTTCTTACAAGATATTTTAGATAAACGTAATGTAGCTTTTCCTGTGATATATGCTTTAAATAGGTTAAGTACCATCTGATCAAAAAAACCGACGGCAAGTAACCTTCGACATGTAATAAATCATAATTTTTAAGGAAACTTGACGTCGTTCTTTTTCAATCATATGGTATATGTTGTGGTTTATGGTATATGCTATTATAATTCTATTTATGTGCAATCGTCGTCTGTTGGTATATAATCTTCTACCAGGCTGTAAAAATCGTCGTAGGGACAGAATTCGTCGCAACCAGATAGGGAGAAAGCCACTGGATCATCTTCTTCGTAGAATTGGTAGAATAACTAAAACAATAGATTGATATTTGTTACTATAGAAATTTTAAAGTATTCATTGCTTGTTTTTGTTAAATTATCTAACTGACAAAATTGCATATTTTTTTTAATTGAGGCGTCAAGTTGCAAAACCCTCCTTATCCCACAAACGTTGTTTAGATATATAATAAGCAAAAAATTGTTTTAGCAAATGTTTGAAGCATTAATTTACAAAAAAAAACGTGTTCATTGAGTGGTATCATTGTTTTATATCTCGTTTTTCTAGAAATAAATATTAATATTTAATTTTTAAACAGAAAAAACAAAAATAATTCGGATAAGGCGGGTTTTGTTGCAGTATGATGCATATTTCGGGTTTTGATACATTTTGATCAAGAAAAAACGGCGTCAGTGATGGCTATGAAATGACGAACGCTGTGATTTTATATGCGAAATACCATCGATTGTCATTTTCTAGCCAACTAGACGCCGTTTTTTTTCGTTCATACGGTATTTGCATTCTAACTTGATTTATTAAATATACCATTTTATTAAAATTAAGTAAGGATTTGAAAAGACGTCAATAGTAACTTGTGTAAAAAGCTTATGAAAAAATGCGGGATTTGTAAAAATAATGGCAATAAAAAGCAAACATAAGTGGATAACGCGGATTTTGCTGCAGCAGCGTAATTTGTAGTAAATTACAGGAATAGGCGACTTTTACTGCAGTTTGGGATTATGTTTATGTAGATTTCAGGGTTCACTATTAATATATATGTTATTAGGCCTTTTTTTCTCCGTTTCTTCTTTTTTTTTGAATGAAAAAGAGAATTCAGTCGAATATTATAAAAGTTATCGAAGAGTTGAATACCGAGAACTATGCATATGTAAGAGCGGCCAATAAACTAAGCAGAAAAATAGGTGTGACAACCGGAACCAGCCAAGAAGATAGATTAAGCCCAACCCTGTTCAACATTGTAATGGACGAAATCATAAACGAAGTAAAGTAAGCGGGGAAAAGATATCGACTAGAAGAAATAAAAATAATATGCTATACTGACGATGCAGTACTCATATCTGAAGACGAAGATAACTTACAAAAGCTTCTAGTGTAAACGCCACGAATGTTTGGGAGTGATTCATCGCTTGATGAAGTTAGAATCGACACGCGCGCTATCATTTTTACATTAAAAACGTAAATTTTTACCGCAGACGTAGGTTTTGAAAGGCCCGGTCTAATCATCTGCCTGCGCTCCTCCTACTTATTCTAAAATGTTAGCGTGATTGACAAAGACGATACTATATCACGTTTCTTTGATTGATTCGTTTTTGTGTGTCAGTCCATTGGTGTGCTTGCAGTGCGACTAATGGGGCATTCCATTTTATATTTATAACCAAATATATGCTTTGACAAGACTTTGACAGTTAAAACAACAAATTACAACAGATTATATATTGATTATTATATGACCTGAAACACCACGGCACTGGAATTAAGTTTTATGTGACCTTGAACAGATTAGTTCACATGGTAGTGACCGATGAATCACTCTCAAACATTCGTGGCGTTTACTATATATAAATTCCAACAAACGGCAAAACTATTTAACATGCAAATATCCTTGAAAAAAAAAATCCCTTAAAATATCTAGAGAGCCTAGAACAGTAGTTCCCAAACTTATTTTTCTCGTGGACCACTTTCAAAATTTTACTGGTTTCGGTGGACCCCCTGCTGCTACATTTCTACCACATTCTTAAAGTCGCCAAAAAATAAAAATTGTGTCACTTCTGAGTTCTGTCCCTATATTCCGATATGTAAAATAAAAACGAAAAATGGTACATTTTATATCACTTTATTTATTAAAAGAATAGAATTACAAGAAAAAATATTAAGGTAATATAGGTTCAGGTCATAATTTTAATTAATGGGAAGGATGTATCTGATGGAGTGTCAGCAAACGATCAATGTTTGGCTTTATTTTTGTGAGCAATAACCGCAAATCCCCCCGCTCTGTGATGTTTAATTTGCTCCTTTTTTTGTTAAGAGGTTTGTAACGGCACTAAAACTCCTTTCGACAAGGTATGACGAGGGAAAAGCTATTAAAAATTTCCTTGCGATTTCCCACAGTCCAGGATATTTTTCGGGTATTTCTGCTTGCAGCCAAAATGTTGGGTAGCCTTTTCTAAATTTCACCTTCAGCTCCTCATTAGTGCTTAGCTCGAGCAGCTCCTCTTGTAATACAACATTGGCCACTTCCGTTTCATCAAATGGATTTATGATCCATGGTGGTATATCCATCGTCAGTATATCTTCAAACCTGGTTTTGAAGTCATCATGCAGAGCACTTAAATGTTGACTGTAGGTATGGATATCCTCATCAATACATTCTACCTGCGACAAGTTTGGAAATTGAGAGAATTCGCGCCGACTAATGTTTTGCTTCATAAATTTCAATTTCCCAAGAAAAGCCGAAATTATCCCCTTTGTTTTTATTAAATTCAGGCTGTCCCCTTGTAACTGCAAGTTAATATCATTAAATTTTTTAAACAAATCTGTCAAATACGCAATGTCTGCTTTGAATTTGATCAAGTTTTCTTTTAAATCTGGATCTCTACTTTCTAAGAACTCTAATATGGAATCGAAAACAGAGTAAAATCTCGTTAAGCATGCACCTTTCGACAACCAGCGTACTTCAGTATGTAAGAGCAGTCGTTGGAAGTCTTCATCATTTTCGTCGCACAATTGAGCAAATAAACGCGTATTCAATGCATTGCTTCTGATTTTGTTGACAGCTTTTATTACAAAATGAAGAGATTGGTTCAACCTGTCACTTAAATGTTTTGCCACAAGATGTTGTCGGTGGATTACGCAATGAATAGCTGTAAGTCCTGGTATAATTCTTTTGAGATGACTTATAAACCCACGATATCGCCCGACCATTGCAGGAGCTCCGTCTGTTGCCACTGAAATAATGTTTGTAAATGGGATCGATTTTTCCGTAAAAAAATTACTCAGGACATTAAATATTGATTCGCCTTTAGTGTCAGTCTCCAAAGTTCTGGCAAATAGCAATTCTTCGTGAATTTCTTCCTCAACAATAAATCGGACATATGCCAATAGTAATGCTTCATTACTGGGTAACGTTGACTCGTCCAGTTGTATAGAAAAATGAGTTTTTTGCAGATGATTGCACAAAAAGCTTTCGATATCAGAGCTCATTTCATCAATGCGTCTTTGTACAGTATTGTTACTTAATGGAATTCTTTTTAGTACGTCAAATGGAGATTTGTGCAAAACAGTTTTTAAAACCTCTTCAACAGCGGGTAAAATTAATTGTTCTCCGATAGTGTGCGGTTTTCCAGATTTTGCTATAAGTAATGAGATATTGTAAGATGCCCGCAAGCCATCATCGTTACTTTGAGATGTTGAAGCGAACATACTGTGCATGGTGGGTCTCTTTCCATATTTTTCTTTCAATGTTTGAAAATATTTTAAATCTTTACCTATTTTATCAGTATGACACCTTTTTAGATGATCTTCGAGCTTTGATGGTTTCATAGAGTCATTGCTCAAAACTTTGTTGCATAATAGGCACATGGGCAATTGTTTGTCTGCCTCTGATGGAACAAAACCATATTTCAAATAATCGATACTATATTGTCGACATTTTTTCTTTGCTGTAGCCATGTTTCGTGTCAGTTACCTTACCTGTAAAAAAAATGTTTTAGTAACCAAGTTTTTTCTGAATATAGGTATCACACCGCAGCCTTTGTCAGCACGCGGAAATAGAATTACGGCTTGTAAAGGGACCAACTAATAAACCGCTGAGACAAATACAGACGTTTTCACAAAACGGTATCAATTTTAAAGTACATAATTTACCACTAATTTTTAATAGTATAAATAAAAATTGGTGTACTCAGTATCGAATACTGATCATATTTGTGTAGGAAAAATAAAAAGTCGAAATCCCAAAATTGTCCATAAAACGATAACTAACATTTTATTAAATCAATGAGTTCACGCGCTCCGTGTATTTGCGTATTTTTTTGTCTGCGGCTTCATTGTTAAAACGTGACAAACTGGCATCGAAGTCAAGCCCCGCCCTTTTCCCGTCGCCCGCGCACCGCTCGCTCTTTCCGAAAAGGAATAGTTTTGATAAAATAGTTACTTCAAAACCAATTTAAAATGATTATGAAATTACTGTTTTATAAAATTAGTAGTTATTTGCAAAGAAAATTACAAAATTAATTGCTCTGCAATATTGCTTATTCGGCCTTTTAGAGAGGCAGTGTTTCTCTCGTGAAAAACAATTGAATAAAACGTGCTGTGTTTGTCTTCAAATCGAAAGAGGACAATTAAAATATCTGTAAGTTACTAAGTTACCTATCTATACAGGCCGTTGTGATCAACCGACTAGTACACGTAAACAAAATACTTAAGTACTATAACAAAAAAAAAGGTAGGTTACTTACTTTTCTCCGGCACTAGCAAACACAGATATAAATTTTCTCACAACTTTTTTCCAAATTCCGCCTTTTTTCGAAATTCCGGAAACAAATGAATGCGTTTGCCTTTGGCATCAAGTATTTATAGTGGTGATCAAGTTCATGTCTGAACAAGCATTAAGCATTGTCGGGCGGATAGCGCTTTGCAAGTCTGTACACGAAATTGTACGTAATATCGAATACGCAAGTTTGGACAAGTAACAGTCGCTTGCCTTATTAAAATATTATCTGCTTAGATAGGTACTTAAAACAATGTAGGTAGGCCCTTATAAAAACTATGCTTACATTTTTGCTCTTTACTATCAAAAGCAGATAAATTTTCGTGGACCCCCATTAACATCTTATGGACCCCCATTTTTTGTTCACGCCTACGTAGACCCCCAGCAAGTCTCCCGTGGACCCCTGGGGGTCCACCTGGACCACTTTGGGAATCACTGGCCTAGAAGATGCAAACTCGCAATCTATGATCAGAGTGTAGAACAAGTGATGTTATTTAAATATCTAGAGGCAAATATAACAAGCACTAGGAATCCCAAAGAGGAAGTAAAAACCCAAACAACAAAGGCATTACTAATATCAGGATATTTAAGGGATATAATTTGGCGAAATAAATATATGAGCGTCAGAAACAAAGTTAGAATTTATAAGGCTTTCGTGAGACCAGTTATGATATATGCGATAGAGACTAGAGCAGTGAACACAACAACAAAACGGCTCCTAAGAACAACAGAAATGCGAACACTAAGATCAACCACAGGATATACCTTATATGACCGGAAAAGAAGTGAGGATATAAGGGAAACATGTGAAGTACAGGATGTAGTCAGATGGGCAAGAAACAGGAGAAGAGAATGGAGATACCATGTGGACAGGATGCCAAACGACCGGTTAGCGAAAATTGCTAAAGAGAAAAGACCCAACACGCCTCGACCGCCGGGACGACTACCTATAAGATGGTATGAAAGCTGGTCTTCATCATCCCCACTGTTCTTAGAGGACTATTGAAGACAACACAGGACTTGATCCTAACGTATGAAGAAGAAGAAGAGAAGAGGCCATTTTTTGGAAAAAAATGGATCAGACGGGTTTTGCAACTTGATGCCTCAATTCATATGACTTTTTTTTCTGAGGATGGTAAAAAAATCTTAGACGCCTGGTCTGTTGTTCTAGCGACCGATGTGTGCCGGATTCCTACCGACTAAAAAAAATCCACCCTGTTTGGTTGACAAACTGCGCAGATGCCTTCGGCGCAGATGCCCCTCTCTACGTTACACTTTGGTCATTCTTCAACCCTCCGTTGATCCAGTTCCTTCTGTCGTAGAATTTTTGATATAAACGCCACGAAAGCCTCCCATATATCTTCGTCCTCCACAATAGATGGTATTAGGTTTTCTTTTTTAAAACGTACCTTAAAAATTCCTTTGATCTTTAATCTACCTGGTTCCCAGGCCGAGCATTCAAACATGGTATGACTGACATCGTCGATGGCACTGCTGCAATATTTACAGGCCGCACTAGCTCTTTTCTTGAAACGATATAAATAATGTTCGAAAGCTCCGTGACCGCTAAGTATCTGGGAAAGATAATAGTCTACCTGTCCGTGTTTTCGTTCAGTCCATCTTCTTATATTCGGGATTAACATATGTGTCCATTTTCCACCGTACGCCTCATTCCATCTTCTTTGCCACAGTTAATGTAATATCTCCTTCGCTTCATTTTTGATATCAGCCTTATCTGTTCTTCCTCTAGTTTTCTGATCATATATATAAGCCCTTTCCTTTACTACCAGGTCTATTGGTGGTATACCTGCGATTACGAATACCGCTTGTTCCGCTACAGTTCTGTAGGCAGAAACAACTCTCAAGGCACTCCGTCACTGAACTGATAGAAGATTCTGTTTTTCTTTTTTAACCTCCAGTGCCTTTGCCCATATTGGAGCGGCGTACAAAATACTGGCGTGGACCACTTCATTTAAAAGTATCCTTTTCTCCTGCCTTGGACCTCCGATGTATGGCATTACTCTTGCTAATTTAGCCACTGTTGTCTGAGCCTTTACCACTACTGCATGTATGTGTTCTTTGAAATTCAGCTTTTTATCAATTTGCACTCCCAAATACCTGAGGCTTTTAGACCATTTGATTTCCGTCCCATCCAACACAATCTTTGGATACGTAAAAGATCGCTTATCCGTTATCAGTACAGCCTCTGTTTTATGGACAGACAGTTGCAAATTTTTCATCTTCAGCCAACGGTGTATTCTATCTAAACTATCGTTTACTTCAATCTCCAGTTGTTCTGTTTTACTTGCCGTTGCCACAACAGCAATATCATTTGCAAATCCCACTATATCTGTGTTTTCAGCCATTTCCAGTTCCATAAGCTCGTCATACAATTCATATGACTATCTACGCAGATTACTGAGGTCTGTGTTCGTAAGTCTGTTAAGTCGAGGACACACCTGATGAATGTTATCTACCATTCGTTCGTATTCGCGAGGAAATCTTTGTCAGCTGACGTGCATTCGCAGCGAATGTAGGCCGCGACGACAGGGTTCAGCGCGAAAGAATGCTTTCCAACTTTTTATGGCAAAAGTGATCAAAGAAAAATACGAGCCTCGAATGATTGGAAACGTTGCAGTGCAGTGTGGACGTATCGGAAAAAATGCATGAAGTGGAAAGAGTGCGAACAGTGGAAACGTTAACGAAAAAAAGTATTCGGTCAAATGTATCACGCCACCCGCTGCGAATGGCTGCAATGCGAACGAATAGTAACATTCGTCAGGTCTGTCCTCGGCTTTAGGCAATTGAATTTTTAAAATTTGTCATTATAACTTTAGTTTACATTTTTATGTATTGTATCGCCGAACCAGACTATATTTATGTATTATACCGTTGATTGAAGGAATTAGGAAGATACGCAACCTAATGGGCGAATTCGTGACAAGGCTGATTTGATTTCCCCTTAACGTCTCAATTGCTGTACGGTGGTGCCACCAATCGTTCTGCGGCCAACACATAAAACATTTATTTTCTCTCAATGACTAAAGAATACAAGGACATGTAAGGCCGTTATACGGGCTGCAGCAGAATTTGTGATTTTAGACGCCATTTTTTGGTTGTAACAAATTAGTCGTCAGCTGGCCATGAGCGAAAATTTTATCGATTTTTAATAGTTTGTGCGTAGTGAACTTTGTATAAACTTTTTACAATGGTGATTAGTTGTTCAGCCTTTCAAGTGTAAAAGCCGCAGCTATAAGAAAGAGCCAGGTTACGTTTTATAGGTAAATAAACAGTCCACTCCACCTTTTTAGCGCTTTCTTAGTTTTCTTATTGAATTCGATAATTATTTTTCTGATCTTATATGTACTTGATATATATGTGCTGTAGTCAAAACATTTATCAAAAATATAAATATCTTTTCAAGTAGCTAAGTTAAAATAAATATGTGCCAGAGCACTGTTTGGTGGTATGGCAACAATTTGGTCTCGGGTGTTATTAGTCCTTGTAGTCTTTAGTCACTGTTTTTTCTAATTCGTGGAACTGAAAACGACAGTGTTGCCATATTAAAATGTGTACCTAATATCTGTAATACGTTTGACGAAAATGTCATTGGATTAAAAATCCGCGTTTATGTATTGAACATTTATTCGTGTTAAACATAGAATAAACAACAAAAATATAAATTCTTCTATAGGTACTGAATATTTCGTATGATCGAAAAAAGTCGTTTAGTTGGCTTGGAAATGACGATGATTAACATTTACCATAGTATCTTACATATGAAATAACAGCGATCTTCATTTCCAAGCCAAATTTGACTCTTCTTTGTTTAATCATATAATATAATATTAAATTGTTTAACGATAAAAAAAATCCGTATTATTAACGTACTGCACCCAAAATCTGTAAATCAACGGATTAATCCGTAGTTTTCGCAGCACTGTCTCCTGCCATTCACTCTGTCGACTGAAAGCAGAACTACTGTACAGTTTTCTTTTTACGCTGCGCTGTAAACGACTATCAGCGCTCAGCGGCGCTGAGTTAAACTAAATATCGGACAGGCTGACGGGATATGTTTTGTGCCACGAGATCGCCCATAAGGTTGCGCGTCTTTTTATTTTTTCAATCAACAATTATACCTTTATTCCATAGACACCATCGATTAGGTGGAGTTCGAAGAGCACGTACGATCCGTATGGAGGAGCCATGTGGATTTCAACTCCAAGTGTCAATAACATATTGGCTACGTTCAGTTCGTGAGCGGAGTATATAAACATTTTTCTGGTTGAAGGATCGATGGTGCCGTTAATTTTGTCTTCAGTGTCGGAGAGAATTTTCTTCAATAGGAAACCTGGAAAGAAGCGAAAATATAATTTAAAAACAATCGGATATTCCTCATACCTGGATAGTTTTATCATTGATATTTCCTTTGCTCTTCTATTTTCTGTAGCCACCTTGTAGAAGTTAAAATGTTTTCCTGAAATACATCCCTTTTTCCTGAAGCTCACCCCTATAACTTTCTTATTTTTTCAGATAAAAAACGAGAATTTCGTACGTTAGTATATGACATAAATTAAGGTTGATTGACGTATTCTGTTGTTTTTGGCCACTTCCTGTTTCACCGGAAATGGCTACAACTTTTAATTTTTAAATAGCCCCCTTGGTATTTTTTTACTTTATTCGATAGAAAATGACACTCTGAATGGAATGACATATCATATGTCAACTTTTGACATAATCGCTTAAAAACAAATTGAATTTTAAATTTCAATCTAGAGTGCCATGGCTGTGTTAAAAACACTAATTTTTAATCAAGGAGCCTTGAAAAAATAGATTTGATGGTCTAATGTTTTTGGTGTCCTGTCTTGGCCGGTTAAAAGATGCCCAAATCGTATTTTTAATCATATCTCAATTTTTTCAAATAGAACGAGGGTGGCTCATTAGCATATTTGGAAAAAACATTTTTTACGAATACGACACACTTGGTATATCGAGTCAAATTGTCGTTATGAACTGCATGTTACAATTTCAAATAACCCATATGCGAAAATGTCAAAAGTTGACATATGATATGTCATACTGTTCAGGGTGTCATTTTCTATCGAATAAAGTAAAAAAAAATACCGAAGGTACTATTTTTTGTGCTATTTTTTGAAGGTGCAACTTTTTCATAGGCACCCTTCTAACGTCATGCACAGAATAAAAATAACTATAATTTGACATATAAATGATCAAAAAAATTTATGAGCGTAATGTCGTCTCCAAATTAGTTATTATTATTATCCAATTAATCATTGTTGCGGCAACTTTTCACAGGTACTTTGTTCTTGTTAAAAGTGTATTCTCCTATTCATAATTATATGTAAAAATTTGGTTTTGATTACAAATGTGATCATCTTTAACATAAACATTAATAAACGCTACAGAATTTTCTTCTGGCAAATTACTACTCGCTATTTTAAAATACCACTTGAACACAAGTTAAATCGTAGTCAATCAAGTTGAGTTTAGACGGTCATATTACATTTTAATCAAACATTCTGAGCATATACTTATACAGACTGTTTGATTAAAATTGATTGTTTACCTGCTGCAATTTTCCTTAATGCTGTTGTGTTGGTGTAGACGTAATACAGGTCTATCGTAGCCGACAGTAGAGGATCAGGATATATGAGAGACGTCCAGTCTTCTAAGTCATAACCAACGTCTTCCTGTAAATAGAATAAAATAGAATAACAATGGCAAATTCAAAATTTGTTTTCGAAAACGTTTGATTTGGCGATAAGAAAAAATATATACAGGGTGTCCCAATATTTTATGGACATAGAACTATTACGTCTTTAGAATCAAAATAAGTTAATTGCACACAATTATGCCTCTACAGGGTGGCGTCTCTCATACGCCGCCGGAGCTCCAAGAAGAACGGTCATATCGAAATGAAATTTTGGCAGCATATGCACACTGCATTCACCAACTAACAGAATCATATCAATTCTCTCTGATATAGGATAAGTTTGCATTTTCGGCAAATTTCTGAGAAATTTTTTTGTTTTAACTGACACAAAATGATATATCACAGCCACCCCTAAATTTTAGGATTTTATCAAATAATAAAGATCTACTCAGATCAAATCATGTAAATGAAAATATCTAGGAAAGTCTCTGTTTGAGGGGGACCTTAATAGTATTTTGAAGAGATATGAATTCTCCATTGAATAATGTACTGGGTGTTCCATTTAAAATAAAAGAGTAACATGCTTTTAAAGGTGACCAATGCTCAATATTATTTTTGTCTCACCCTGTATAACTTTTTGGATCAAGTTTTAATTTGATTTAAAGATCAATAGTTAATTTAACTACATAGTAGGCTATACCGGGTAAATTCCAATTTAATTTCTAGAAAATGTTAAATATGTCAAAAACCTCACATTTTAGTCATATACTTCTCTTATAAAACTCACGTTTATTTTTCTGCCAGAATCCGAAAATCAATTAATATATAGGGTGTTCCATTACAAAAAACACAATTTTGATATGTAACTTTTTTTGGTGACACCCTGTAGAACTCTCTATATTTTTAGAAAGTGCTCTGAATTAACCTACATATGCTCACAAAATTTCATTTCAATAATAACTGTCGTTCTCTTTGGAGCCTCTACGGCGTATGAGAGGCGCCACCATGTACGGGGCGTTTTTTTACACAAGTGACAAAAAATGTAGTAAATACAGAGATTATCGTTAAAGAACCACTACAGCTATAATTTAGAATTATTTTCGTATGGTACATAGTGCCCCAAACAAATAAAAATATTTTTCGAAATGAAATATATTATTTCCGAGATTATTTCTATACGTACTTGAGCATAGAATCCAAAATACATTCCAAAAGCTGCTGATAAACTTCCACTTTCATCCGTATAAGCTTCCATGATGGCAAACAATTTTTTGTATCTCGTTGATATATATTCTGATATCTCTGTACTGTTGAGTACTTCCTGGTAGAGAGTTCTGAAGTTTGAACACGCACTTGTGCCTTGCAGTTCCTAAAAAATTAGATGTATCAGAAATTGTTTTGTTCAAAGTAGGTCGTATCAAAAAAGTGATACAATTATTATTATTATTACTTAACGTTAATTTTGATTCTAAGAATACACTGATTTTATAATTAAAAATCTGGTTGTTCTATTATTACTGTCCAGTTTAAATAAATCACCATAAATCCGAATTGTTTTTGAAAGTTACCTTATCTGAACTGTAGTAATTGTAGGGAATTGGTAACCAATACAAGGAGGACCAAATTTGGCTTCCTCTTGCGGGATACAAGGCTGCCAACATGGCTTGAGCGGACATCTTCGTTCTATTTACGTTGGTACTTCTGATGTCCAAATAATTGATGTTCCAGCTTGATGTGAGGAAATCGTCGAATCTTGTACGTAGTTCGGCCCCCATGTTGTATTCTGTCAGTTTCCCAGTCTATAAGTTATACAGTATTATTAAAATTTGATATAATCCGTTGAGGAATTATTGGTTTTTCTATAAAGTAATAAATAATAGGCAATGAGAGAGAGAGAGAGAGAGAACACTTTTTTGTGGAAATTTCTGAAATCGACAACGGATGGAGTTCCTTCAATATTATGTAAGAGCGTTGCCTTGTTAGCCAGTTTGTTAGAGTGTCCAGGAATCCACATAAAGTTATAGTAACATTGTAGTTTCTTTCAGTAAGTTTATATACTAGATCTCGAATGCTGCAGGTTAGAGAGTTTTTGGATTTTAAAGAAGCAATACTGTTGAGAGAACTAAGTGAATCAGATAGTATTAATGCTTCAATCGGTGGCATGCTCTGAATTTGGATAAGAGCCTGATAAATAGCTGTGAGTTCGGCTGTTAAAATGCCAGAGAAATTAGGTAATCTGATTTTTTTTATTAGCAACCGGGCTGTAAAAAGCACAGCCAACACCTTGGTTAGATTTCGAGTCATCTGTGTAAAAACAAATAGTCACGATGTTTTTCGTCTAAGATTTAGTGATGGGCAAAACTGTTATTTTTAGATAACAGTTGAAACTGTTATAGTTATTTATAAAAAACAGCTTAAAATAACAGCTTAAAAATAACAGGTTTCTTTATTTTATTGCTAAATATCTGAAAGAGTATGAGGCGGTCACCGCCAGGCGTATTAACGCAGTTGCAAGTTGCAACAATGACATGCTCGGTGGTAGTATTTCCAGGGTGTCAAAACATTTCTAAATATCGATTGTTATCTAAAATACCTCTCTAAAAACGGTCGTTGTTTTCAAATAAGCGCTGTTTACAAATTGCAATATAAAAAAGCCAAAATTCCGCCACTGGTCTATACGTATACATTCCGATCTACCTACGCCTTGCCCCTCGATCCGCGTAGATCCTAATTGCGTAGCAGTGTACAGCGTACATCTCACTCGACGTGCGAGAAGCTCTTAGTTATAATTTTACCATTTGCGGTCAAAAAATAGCAATATAAGAAAATGTGTAGTATATTCTTCATAAGTAAACCAACTACACACTAGAGTTCGAATTAATTTCGACACTTAAACTAGCGTGTACCCGCGACTTCGTTCGCGTCGAATTAATAATTTGTAATGGTGATGATAAAGCAAAGCAAGAGTTTCTATTAACATACAAACTGGATAAAATTTTCTCACATTTGCCAAAAATAAGCTTTAAACGTCGAGTAGTTTAAACAGAATCGTGGTTAATCAATTACTCAACTTTTTGAAACACCCTGTATGATTTTTTAAAAAATTTCAAAATATGTAAAAAAACAAAATAAATTATGCGTGTCCAAGCGTTTTCCAGAAAGACTAACCGTTTTTTAAATAACAAATATTGTAATATTTGAGGGGCGTTTTCACCCTCTTGGGATTTGAGATTCGAGAAACCCCTCCTTATCGAACCTCAACCCCACAGTCAATCCGTTTGCCAAAAATCAGCTTTAAACGTCAAGCAGTTTAAGCAGAATCGTGATTACTCAATGGTCATATTTTATGAAACACCCTGTATATATTTTAAAAAAATCTTAAAATATGTAAAACAACGAAATAAAATATACGTGTTTAAGAGTTATTCCGAAAAACTCACCGGTTTTTAAATAAAAAATATTCTAATATTTGAGGGTGGTTTCACCCCCTTAGAATTCAGGTTTCGAAAAATCCCTTCTTATCGAACCTCTACATCCTAAAGTCAATCCGTTTTCCAAAAATCAGCTTTTTACGTCAAGGGCTTTAAGCAGGATCGTGATTAATCAATGACCAGATTTTTCAAAACACCCTGTATACATTTTTAAAAAATCTTAAAATATTATTCTGAAAATTTTTCATTGAAACATACAGCACCATAATATCTCGACCTCCGCCCGTTATGCTCGTAACAGGTTGAAAAACAATGTATCTAAAACAACTGATGCGTTATTCTCCAACCTGTTTCGAACTTCCATCGACAATCAACCGATGCAGCAGCGTTCCTTTCCCACTCCTGTTATCTCGACCGCCAGGCGTTATGCCCGCAACTGTTTCAAAAAACCTGCTTCTTTTATATCCTATTATTTTTAAGCTGTTGTAAGCCTAATACGACCGTCGACGGCATCGACCGAAGCAGCTACGTTCGCCGTAGCGCATTCCCCACTCCGTTGTCCGTTGTCTCGCCGCCTGTATCGATGGTTGACGAAATAACATTTTTCCATCCATACTAGTTGTTTTTTGGAATTGCTTCGAGCAGCATAGAATTTCGTGGCGGTGCAGAGTGCCGACTTCGTTTTTCGTTTCACGAGCGGCCGATCTCTACGTGTCGTTATTTTATATCTGTTATTTTTTAGAAGTAGTAACGGTTGCGTTATGTTATTTCTAAATAATTGTTATAAAATAACAGGTAGTTAAATAACAACCCATCATTACTAAGATTTGTATTAGACTATAGTTTTGTAAAGATATCTGGATGTTTCAGATTTCTTAAATTTACAAAGTTCCATATTAACTGAAATAGGATCCTTCCATGGAGGAGGCAGTGTGTCGGAAAAAGTGGATACAGGATATTAGGAATGTTTTGTTGGGAGGAAAATAGGTGGTATCTTATATTAATGGGGCGTTGGTATTTTAGATGAACAGTATAGGTTTCACTAAGTCGAAGAACTTGCCACAGTCAGTCAAAAAAGGCTTTGACTTAATGGATATTCCATAATTAAGAGTATGGAGAATTCTCCAATGATACAAGGAAGAATATCCAGATAAGGCATAAAGACTCTCCACCGGTGTGGTGCGAAAGGCACAAAATAGACAATAAGATCATCTACGTACATTTGTTAGTTGTCCATATCCTTCAGGATAGTAACTTTCATTGTAGTAGGGGTTGTCAGCGTAGATTCCATCAGTTGGATTTCTATTTCCATGTCTGAAAAGCTGCGAAAAAATAAAAACAGAATAGTATTAATACAAGTACCTAGAGATAGATATCTACACTTCACTGGCACGAAACTTTTGATGTATTTTAATGTTTCATATATCATGTACTAATAGATTGATTTTGATGATCTTTTAAGCATTTCTAGCTAAATTATTTTACTTTTTAGTGTCTCTTTCTAAATTAAAAATGAAAGTTTTCATCGGTCAATTATACGAGGGATAACAAAATGTTGATATTTTGGTGAAATTTTGAAACTCCCTGTAGAATATGTTAAGACAGCATGACAAGACGTTAACAATGATGTTACCACAATAGGCACCAAAATCATCTCGTTGTATTAAAAAATTACACGAAAAAGTAACGATAATAAAAAAATTGCATATTGATCGTTATCTATCAATTTATTTCGCTCTTAAAAATTAACCAAAGCATATATTGAATATACACATTCATACATGAATCAAAAAACAGAATGCTCAGGACTTATGGTTCTAACCGTAAAATTATATTTTAGGAAAATTTACAGACAAAATTATTGCACAGGGTGTTTTAAAGTTCGGGTAATAAACAATTCCTAGATTAACCCTGTATAACATTCCAAATATTAAAGTTTATAAAAAGCTGAGTTTACGAATTAAAGTTGAGATAATTATATACAACTTGCAAAAAATTCATGAGAATAAGGTTAAAAATATCAAAAATATAACACTTTAAAAATTTGGCCAAAATTTTCTACGTTGCGTTTTTTTTGCATCTGAGTGTATATTGAACTTTAAAACACATCATCATTTCAAGGTGCCCGTTTTTCGTACCGGTCGCGGTGAGTGTATATTGAAAAATTTAGTGTCCGTTTTTTGTGCTGGCTAGTGTAGGTATTTAATATATTTAAAAAAACATGTAGAAATAATTTGTTTAAATTAGTTAAATCTATTGAGGCAATTAAAAGAATAATTAAATGCAATGATTGATTCAATAATTACATTTAAATTTATTCAAAGATAATAACGACTATACTAAGGGCTGGCAAAGGTTATTTCTTGGTCGAGATTTCCGGCCGTATGTAAGAAGAGTACAATGCGTTTATAATGTACTGAACAAAGAGAGAACAGTAAACACGTTGCCAAACGTATGAAATAAACCGAGGGACTGTGCACATTGCTAAGAAACGTGGAAGGGGATATAGCAGAGTGGCAGATTTGTAGCAGTCGACCGGTCAACCCATTCAGTACTACTGTCAGTACTTAAAGTTTTAGGGAAAGGTGTATAATCATGCGTTCAGCTTCACGGTTAATTATTTATTGACGAATAATTGTATTTTTTTCTATAGCTTGAAAATTTTTAAGTGCAAGTTAGAAAAACTTGCATTTTTGGTAAAAATGAGGGGAATTGAGTTGGTGTTCGACAGTGGTCGCGCTATTAGAACTCTGAATTCAAAAATCGATATCCCGAAATCTATTAGAAATAATTGATTGTAGTTTTTTCAAAAACTTTCTTAACATTTCTGCTATATTTTCCTCGCAGACAGTATGTGAAAATCTTTATAAATAAGAAAGTTACACGATTGTTGAAAATTGCTATGCACTAAAAGTAAACGGATGGGTTGTTTAAAATTTTTGAATGAAAAAAAACAACCTTATCGAATTTTTCTTATTTATACATATTGTAAAAGATTCGATCTTCACAATAAAAAAAAGTTCAATATCTAAATTGGTTCTTAAGTTATGGCTTGTTATGTTTTAAAAAATTGAGTTTTTAAATTATTGGAATTTTAAAAATGTACACTCTAACGATATTCTTACAAATCCATTTCAGATGTTTAGAAACATATCTAATGATTTTATCCAGTTTGATAGGAAAAGGCGTACCGGCAACGCCGCAACAGCACACCGTCGCATTTCTCTCACTCCGACTTAATAAGATCCCTATGCGATTTACTTCCACACTTGTAAATACCGACCCAAAAGTAACAGTTGCCAGCACAGTATATTAAATAAACTTAATTTTCGGCAAAGTATTATTAATATACTCGTAAATATACTTAAATTTGTTATATTAATTTTCAAGTGTATTGGAACAGGATTGGGACCAAATATATTATTTGTTAGATTTATGTTTTTAATTTTGCGTTTAAATTCATTTGCAAATTTGTATAAGATTTGAATAACCTATTATTTTTTTATAATTATACCAAAGAATATTATATATATTCTGGGTTATACAAAATACCTGATAAGCATAAAAAAACACAATTTTAGAATTTGAAGTAGATACCAATAACATATTTAATATTATTCTGTATTCCGTTGCAAAACCAGGCGAACCAAACCGGTAAACTATGGTCAAGAGCGGTTCCTGAAAAACGTCGGTTTGATACGGAACGGTTTGATAAAATACTGGAAGCGTCAAATGTTGACGTTTTCTAAATTTCAATACCTCTATTATAAAATTCATCTTTTATGCATTTTTAATGTATCTATTCTCTGTTTTTACGTTTGCTTCTTCTTTTCAATGGAGTTTAATATTGAAAAGTACTATATTAAAAAACTGTTAAACTCGTTAGACAGCTCAAATGAAGATTTGCAGGTCCAATATTAAAACAGATCAATAATAAATAAACAAATCTAATCAATATTTATATTTTTATAGCTTACAAAATATTCACGATTACTTGTTGTCTTGTTTTTCATGTTTTCTTTAAATGTTCCTGACTTTAAGAAACTGGTCCTAAAGTCCTAAAAAGTTATTCTATTTAGTTAATAAAATTTATTTACCTTTACTCCTACCTCCATTGCTTTTGGATGTAAATACAAAATATTACAAACTTTAGAAATTAAATGAGAATTTCACTCGAACGTCCAATATTTGCTTGATTTCCGTCACATAAATGACATTGATTGACAAACAAAACCAGATAAACCAACCTTGTCGTGCTGGGTAGTTTGGTGACAGTTACAACCGAATTTTTCAGAAACCGTGTTCCGTAATAAGAAAACTTTCAGGAAACCGAAAGAAACGGAACATAAAACCATAACCAAAGTAAGCAACGGAATACACCCTCGGACAACAATGACATTTTATATGTCATCGGTAGATACAATTTTTTTAGTGCAAATAAAATAAATTAAGATTTTTTTATCTAAACTTACCACGTGAGCCAGTTGTAAAGTGCTTGTGTCATAAGACGACTCTGCTAACGAGACTACGGAAATGAGGAAAGCTACGAAAACAACCCTGGAACTGAACATCTTGGCGAATGTTAATTTCTCTGAAATCTGGACGTCTTTTATACCATACTTTTCATTATTTGGATTGCTATCAATAATAAACGGCATACATAAAAGGTTTATGGAATGTTGATCTATCTCTGCATTCCGGAAGGATTAAGATGAAATTTTTGAAAACGTGATGTTTCAGAATCTACACGTGATTTCTAATATAAAATATTTATTGTTTTATGTTTTTGCAATTACTCACAAAAAACTAGTTACACAAATTAAATCCGATTTTATCTAGAAATGTTTATTTTTGATACTGATATGAATTATTTTTCGTGTCGTAAATTGGGATCGGTATCGGGGTGTCATAAAAATACTTTTTATATTGTTGTGTTACTTTGTCATATCGCCATGAATGTGAATAGATTATTGTCTATTCTATAATACAGCAACTCTATGGAGGTCATTCTAGACCTAACATAGGGTTGCCAACTTTCAATAAAAAATTGACAACGGGAGGGTAAAAAACAGGCACAAGCGAATATTTTTTGAAACCTCGCCTAAATGTCTAGAATCTACCAAAAAGTTATGCCAACGGTATGCGATTGATGATCTTTTTTACTTTCTTAAAAATATTTTTACTTAAAACTTATTAAAATAAAACAAACCATTTCAAACAAAACTTTTTTTTCAAAACATAAGCAACAGTAAGTAAACGTTAAATAGTTAAACATGTGTATGCCTTGCACAAATATTTCTTCTTCTTCTTTTAGAATGCGTATCGCCTGTTTAGTTCCGGTTTCCTCCTCGTCTAAGCAACTCTTGCGAGGTTGACTGCCAGCTGTCTTGCCAACGTTTAGATGGTCGTCCAGTAGGTCTTCTGCCATGGGGTACGTTGTTGCGAATTATTATGGCCATTCTGTCGGGGCCCATTCTATTAACATGCTGGTTCCATTCTCTTCTTCTCTGCCTTATCCATCTGACAACGTCGTTCGTTTGGCACTTTTCTCTTATATCTACATTTCTCTGTCTGTCCCTCAATGTGTATCCAGTTATCATTCTTAAGGTCTTCATTTCAGGAGTTCGTAGGATTCTCTTTGTTACTGATGTTTTAGCTCTGGTTTCCGCACCATATGTCATCACTGGTCGTATGCAGGTTTTGTATATTCTTGACTTACATTCTGTACTCAAATGTTTGTTTTTCCATATGGGATATTTAAGATGTCCTGATATTGCGGCAGCTTTATTGGCTTGTTTTCTTACTTCTTCTTCCCGGAATCCTGAGCTTGTAATTTTGTATCCGAGGTATTCGAATGACATTATCTGATCAATAGTTTTGTTTTTTATTACCAATTTGCACCGTAGAGGCTCCTTTGTAATGGTCATGCATTTGGTCTTATTTGTGGAAATTTGCATGTTAAGTTTTTCTGCCTGTCTGTTAAAAGCTTGTAGCATTCTTTGGAGGTCGTCCTCTAAAACTGCAATAAGTACTGCGTCATCGGCATAGCATAATATGTTTACTTTATGCATTCCCATTCGATATCCTAATCCAGTATTCTTGACGGTTTTTATTACTTGATCCATGATTGTGTTGAATAACAGAGGGCTGAGACTGTCGCCTTGGCGAATACCAGTTGTAGTTCGAAGATGCTGCGTTAAGGTAAAGTTTGTTCTTATTTGGGTTGTTGTGTTTGTGTTTAAGTCCTTGATAAGTTCTGTGAGTTCTTTCGAGACATTACTGCTTTCCAAGATGGTGATGATGTCTTTTAGTTGGACTCTATCAAAGACCTTTGTTAAATCTATAAAACATAGGTAGGCTGGAGAGTTATATTCTAAGGATTTTTCAACTTGCCTGAGTATGAATAGTGCATCGGTAGTTGATCGGTTTCTTCGGAATCCTTGTTGTTCCTCGCTTATTGGCACTATTGAGGTTTTTTAATAAAAAAATAATAAATATTCATAATTATTTCTTCATTTTCTTTTCTGTACAAATGAGTGGGAGTATAGCGAAATACACAGATTAATTTTTAAAGCATTGTGGCGATAGACGAATATTTTTTAGATGTTGAGTTTGGTATTTAAAAAAGAGGACATTTTCAATACAAGAGAAAAAAAAAGAGGACAGTGAGATAAAAAAGAGGATTGTCCTCTGAATTAGAGGACGGTTGGCAACTCTAATCTAACACCACTGCACATTGTCTTCGATAGTTATGCCAATGCGACAATGATTAGAATTGTACCGGGAGAATTTTCAAGTCAGGGTCTTGAAACACCCTCAAAAAGAAAATTCTACTCCTCCAACTCCCAGTGGATGACATACCAAGAATTTACAACTTTGAGAAACACCTCACTGTAGAGTTGAGTAACACATGCATGTTGGCAGAGAGAAACATTTTCTTAGCAGGTAAAAGCCCATACCATGTGTAGCGTGCTATACTGATGCTTCCTAAACCAAATCAGAACCATTCTCCGAACCAATGGACACACAAGCTTCAAGCAGCACTACAAGCGATCAACTGAGTAACGATCAATTCAAAGTTGGTCAAGGAATGCTTAGAGAAGCTGAGCAAATAATGTAAAGAAAATGAAGTCCTCTTACTTTGGGTGGCCGCTAACCAAGAGATAGAAGGCAATGAAAAAGCAAACGATCTAGCTAGAAAAGGAGATAACAATCTACTAACTGGGCCAGAGACGTTCTGCTTTCCAAGTGGAAACCATTTTAAAGCGGAATTCAAGAAGCTGGAAGACTCCATCCGTAATTTGGAATGGGAATCCTCCAATGGTCTAAGACACTCGAAGAAATTGCTTAGAAAAGACCGAGGAAAATCAAGGATTTTTCTTGATTTAAGTAAGTACAATCTTCGGATTGTATCCTCAACGGATACCTCAGTAGAATGAAGATAAGAAACGACGGCGAATTATGATTCTGTAGGGAAAATGGGGAAACATCAGAACAGCTCATCACTGAACGAGCCGAGACTACAACCATTCGTGCTATAAACTTTGGTACGTCTGATATCGGAGATGGAGAGCTAGCCTCTGTGAAGCTGTTTCAGATATTGGCTTTTGTCGAAGCCCTGTGACTGCATGATTTCTTATAACTCATAACGCATAGTTTTGTTATACCTCAAGAAAGGGGGACACACATTAGATCTATAAGGTAGCGGTGATTAACCCCCTTCCTAATCATTCTACATTTTTCTTCTTGTTGATGTCTGAATGATAAACATTCAGTTTGTCATTCAGACATATCAAACAATATTTTTGTCAGTAGAAACTGTGGATTTGTTTATGGAAATCCAACGCACATGGGATAGTATTTAAATTCTCAATCGAAATATTCCCAAATAAGCTAAACAGGAATAGACAAGACGTTATGGTTATCGAGCAAACATCATTATGCAGTGACCAAGCATTTATTTATGCTGAACTAAATAATATTAAAATCGATTTGCTTAAGAGCGGCTACTTTGACAAGTCATTCGACAAGATTATATTGAACTGCAAAACAGACTTATTCTCATTGGAGCGCCAACCTGATGATTCCATATTTGAAATAAAAATAAAATATCAAGCCAATAGTATATAATATTAAAATTGTTTTTAAGCTTGGAACTACTCTAAAGAAGGTACAATCGTACAAAATTACTGATCACTGGAGACTTTAACGCCAAACATGAAGTTTGGGGAGGAAATCGCACTGAAAGAAGAGGCAGGGAAGTACTGGAATGGTGCGAGATCAATAACCTAACCGTACTAAACGACGGAATTTACCCAACCTTGGTCAGAACATCTGGCACATCGTATATTGATCTGTCAATAGTATGCGATGGATTACTGCAGATGAAACCCATATGGCAAGTCCTTGAAAATCCGGATATAACAGAGCACAAGTTTATTTTTACCGAAATACCATCAGATAACTCGCAAGGAAAAAAATTCAGGTATAAATACGGAGAAATTAATAAGGTTAAGCTTAGTGAAGCATTCAAATATAGCATACCGGGCAAGTCACCAACTATGTCAGCTTACAAAATGGCAAAAATAATTCGCGCAGCATACCATAAAAGTACTCCGACTGTCCGTTGTGATGAAGACTTCCAGATGCCGTACTGGTGGAACGAAGATATCCAAACAAACATTTTAGAAGTAAAAAAAAGAGAAGAAGGTTTCAACGAGAAACAAGAAACGATGATCTTCGCGAGCTCTATAAATGTACATACAAAGAAGCAAAGCAGGATCTGTCTCAAAAGGTCAGAATTGCAAAAATAAGTTCATGGGAAAAACTTTGCGATGACTTACAAGAAAATGTTTACGGTCAAGCATACAAGATAATAAGATCCCAGCTGAAAAAAATGCCACCCAGAGTTCAAATGGACCCAGAAGAAAAAATCAAACAGTTTAAGGCTATATTTGTATATGAGAGGTGGTCTCAATGAGACCTGGTCTCAACCAAATAATATACAAACTGTGATAAGAGAATGTGGTATTTTTTGTGATTCAGATATAATAAATGCTGCCAAAGATATAAAAATTAACAAATCTCCGGGCTGTGATAATTTGCCACCAAATGTGATAAAAACGCTAATATTGGACAATGTAGAATATTTTAGAACATTTTTCAATAACTTTCTTCAGAGAAATGAATTCCCTAAAGAATGGAAGAAATCCAAATTAACTCTAATAGAGAAACCCCGGAAGCACCTAAATGATCCACCAAAATATCGTCCGATTTGCCTCATTGATGTAATCGGGAAAGTCTATGAGAAACTCATCAATACGCGACTCTTGGAAGAAATTAGGAAGAAACGAAAGGTATGCATCCAAACCAGTATGGATTTGTAAAGGGGAAATCTACCACACATGCAATGAAGAAGATATCGGATATCGTGAAAAGAAAAGCCACTTGGCATAATGCTTTGATTTTAGTCGACGTTAAAAATGCATTTAATTGCGCGTCAGGGGAAACAATTATTAAAGAACTTAGAAGATGTGCAGAGGGCATAAGTGGCTATTTGGTGAACATAATAAGAAGCTATCTTGATAATAGATTTATAGTTCTCAATAAAGAAGATGAAAGAGAAGTATTCGGTGGCGTCCCACAGGGCTCGTTGCTGGGGCCAACTCTGTGGAACATATTATACGACAGTGTCATGGAGCTTACTGTACCAGGTGGGACAGAGTTGATCTGTTACGCCGATGATCTTGCTGTGATAATAACAAAAAAAACTAAAAGAAACAAAAAAATAAACGATCTCGACCTAATGCAGACTGTGGATGATACACTAAAGATCATAGCCAGATGGATGCGTGAGCACAGACTCGAAATAGCTGTGGAAAAAACAGAGGCGATTTTACTGAGCCGCAAGAGAAAAGTTGACCATATAAGGTTTAATTTTAAGGATATAATAATAAATCCAGTAAAGCAAGCCAAATCCAATTTCTTGGATTCCACATAGACCGTGCACTCACGATGGGCCTGCACATCAAGGAGGTGTGTCTGAAATCACAACGAACTGCTAAAGCGTTGTCCGCAATACTTCCAAATGTTCGGGGCCCAACACCAGCAAAGAGAAGAGTGTTAGCATATGCGTGCCAGAATATTATTATGTATGGGGCACCTGTGTGGAACGAAGCAACCAATATGCACGTAAATAAAAAAAGACTTGAAGGTGCACAGAGAGTCATGGCTTTGAGGGTCTGCTCGGCGTATCGGACTACTTCAACTGAGGCAGCCTTGGTGATATCGGGTCTGGTGCCCCTGCATCTTCTCTCAAGAGAAAGAGAACGACTTTTTCTCAAGGGTGAAGTACAAACTAGGCCAAGCAGAGAGATGGAGAGAAACCGCAAAGTGCAGCAGTGGCAGGCAGAATGGGAAGTATCGCAAAAAGGAAGATGGACATATAAGCTTATACCAAATATAAATATGTGGATTAAAAGAAAGCATGGAGAGATAAACTTCTATATTACTCAAATATTGAGTGGTCACGGAAATTTTTGGAGTTACCTGAGTAAAATTGGAAAGAGGGAAGTCGCGGAATGCCGATACTGTGCTGAACCCAATGATACTCCAGAACACACAATGTTTGCTTCTCCAAGATGGGAACAGGAAAGATGTGAGGCACGCATGACGATTGGTGGCAACATCTCCGCAGATACCTTCTTAAAATCGTTAACAGAAAGAAGAGAAAACTTTGAAGCCATCTCAAAACTGGCCCAAAATATACTAGAGGCAAAATACAGCGAAGAGCAGGGGTAATGAAAAAAAAGGAACAGTTCGGCGTCTACTTGAGGAGATGCGTCCAGCGGATCTAGGTAGACGTGGCAGGAGCGAGGGGGTGATGTTTAGTGGGTAGTGTCCTCCAGACAGCTTAAGGAGAGATTGAGCCCCACACTCCGTACGTAAAGGTATTTTACACCTCCAAAAAAAAAGGTCTTATCAAAAACGAGAAATCAATCAATAAGAAACTTGCGCACATAGCAAACACGCAATTTTTTTAAATTATATCCATAAAAACAAGGATGGTAACCAAGTGTTTAAGGTCCAATATGGTTATTTTATCATTGCATTATTATAATAATTAACCATTAAAATTATAATCTTGGAGTTTTATAGGAAAGGTAGTTACAATTTGTCCAACAAATACCAACAACTCTTACTAAATATTTGATATTTAGTAAGAGTTACTGAATATCAAATATTTATTTGTTAAGCACTGTTATTTTAACACAAAATTAGATTGTATCTTTTTATTTCATTTCAGTCATCTGCCAAAACTATTCCATTTCTCGCTGGACATAATTTTTATATCATTAATTGGATCATCAATATACTTTTAATGTAGACTTTTTTGATAAAATATTAAAAAAAAAACATTTCATTGCATATGTTTATTCAGGCCTGTTTAATACTTTATTACAATTTATTGTGCATGATAAATTAAATATTATGTGCAATCGTCGTCTGTTGGTATATAGTCTTCCACTAAACTGTAAAAGTCGTCATAGGGACAAAATTCGTCACAGCCAGATAGAGAGAAAGCTACTGGATCGTCATCTTCGTAGAATTGGTAGAATAACTGAAAAATACAAAGTCTTTTAGTGTTTTTAAGTAATATAGAATGGTGTAATTATAAAAATGGAACTCAAATGGAAGTTAAAAAGCAGTATTTTGAAACAATGATCGAAAAAATCGTTCCTCCAAAGTACATTTTTTGAAATAGTACTACTTGCATTATTTTTTCAAAAAAACAACTATATTTGTAGAATTTTACCTTTATTCCATAAACACCATCGATTAAATGAAGTTCGAATAGCACGTACGACCCATATGGAGGTGCCATATGGATTTCAACACCCAGTGTCAATAACATATGTGCTACGTTCATTTCGTGTGCGGAATATATAAACATTTTTCTATTTGTAGGATCTATAGTTCCGTTGATTTTGGCTTCGGTGTCTGACAGGATTTTTTTTAGTAGAAACCCTAGAAGTTGCAGAAATATCGAAATTAATAAAGATTCCAGAATTACAATTATTAGCCATTTGGTCCCCCGTTGGGCGTCAAATGTATAACACACAAAACTGCTAAGATTTTTGGACTATTGAAGTGTACCTTAAAGTTAAATAAAACATGGGTAACATTTAAATAAAACAACTATGGCACTGCCTGTAATATCGGTATTACAAAAGTAGAAAAATCTGGGGTACATAAATTAGGTAGTGCCTCCGCTGGTATATTTATTAATGTATCGCACTTTATCTTTGTATATTAACATTTATAACATTTAATACTGATAAATAAATATTTTGAATTGAAATTGAATATTTTGTAGCACTTACAGTAAGTTTTACCCTCAAAATTTCATTCGAATCGCCTAAAATTGCAATTACTTGGAAGAAAATTGGATAAAATTTAAAAAATAAACATAAATAATAAATAAAATAAAAACAAATAATAAATAAAAAAAAGGATGAAGACTTCAACCATCTGTAGCTACGAAACAAAGCAGAATATTTCCTATGTTGATATAAAAAATAAATCATATTTTCACGTGAGGAATCTCCTCCCGAAAGATGTCACATGCTTTTTGAAACACCCTGTATTATCTGTCTGAGGTTAACTGTTATATTATGTAAAATTACCTGCTACAATTTTTCGGAGGGCTGTTGTATTGGTATATACATAATAAAGATCCACGGTGGCTGCTAGTAAAGGTTCAGGATAAATATTTGAAGTCCAGTCTTCCAAATCATAACCGACATCCTCCTGCAAATGGTACGTTACAGAATTTTACCCTTTTTGTCTGTTTAGGTTACTTACTTGAGCAGCAAATCCAAAGTACAAACTAAATGCTGATTTTAAGCTTCCCGTTAGTTCCGTGTAAGCCGTAATAAATGCGAACAGTTTTTTGTATCTCGTCAAATAGTCAGTTATCTCAGTACTGCTCACAACACTTTCGTATAGAGTATCGTAGTTGGAACAGGCATATTGGCCAAGCAATTCCTGAAAACGAAATATGATAATATCTAAACTTTAATTATGTTGAATTTAGGTTACTTTATCTTCTGCGGATGGATAGTAATTGTATGGAATGGGTAACCAATACAGTGATGACCAAATCTGACTACCTCTTGCAGGATACAGGCCTGCCAACATGGCTTGAGCGGACATTTTTGTTCTGTTGACGTTGGTACTTCTTACATCCAGGTAGTCGATATGCCAGGAAGTTGTCAGGAAATCACTGAATCTTGTTCGTAATTCGCTGCCTAGATTGTATTCTGTTAACTTACCGGTCTGAAAATGGAATATAATTAATTAAGAAGCATTTCTCTAACTTGTTCACGATAACTAAAAGGCACGAAAAACGGGCAGCTTAAAATTTTCATGCATTTTAAAGTTTTATATATTGTGTTCTAGTTGAACCAATTTTGATGATTTTTTAAGCAATTTGTAGCTAAATTACTTGACTTTTTAGTGTCTCTTTCTAAATTAAAAACGAAAGTTGCCATCTCTCAATTATACGAGGGAAAACGAAATGTTGATATTTTGGTGAAAGTTTGAAACAACCTGTGGAATATATTAACAAAGCAAGGATATGTGTATCTTTTCTTGATAGTTTGTTTTTTGGTTTTCGTTTCACAATAGCTTTAGTTTTGGAGATATTCCCTTTTGAATAAGACACTTTTTCGTATTTTTTTTACATTAAAACCATATATTTGCTTTTAGTTCTAGTCAACAGACCTATAAAATAGTATTTATGATTTATGTAATGTCACTTTGTTTGAAAAATCATATTATTATTGTCTGTTTGGCAGTTACTTTAGCAGAGATAGTTTTTAAGACCTTAGTTGATCTCTACCATGATCAAATAAAAAAAATCAGCAATTAGCCGATACTTCAGAACTTAAAAGTATCTCTACAAGAGTAAAGCTGTACGCACACTGGCGCGATCACGGCCGCGATCACGACCACGATCAGGGATTTAAGTGTGCAAACACTTTATCATTGCCCTGATCGTGATTGTGATCGCGGCCGTGATCGCACCAGTGTGTGCGTGTAGCTTAAACGTCAATAAATAATAATAATATGACTTTTCAATGACAGTGACATTACATAAACAGTTTATTGTTTTATTAGGAGTAAAAATGACACTTTTTGTGGCGAGGCTGTACGTTTGTTAATTTTTTAAACAGTTTCAAACATTTTAAATAATATAAATAGTTATTTTTTATACAAGACGATAAAATGGTATTTTATGTTCTTTGACATTGTAAACAATTATAAATGTTTATTCTAAACAATAAGACTGACAATATTATTTGTACAATGTTTTGTATTATCTTTTGTTTGTTTGTTTGTGTATCTTGTTTGTTTACTTTGTTTGTTGAGTTTACCTTTGTCTACAAATTGAAAAATTTTTTGACAATAAAGGCATTTATTTATTTTATTTATCGTCGACCGAAAAGATTAATTCACGAGCGATGAAATCGCGAGTGAATTAATTTCAGAAGACGATAATGCAATTTTATCGTCGTGTATAAAACAACATTTTTTCCATAGCGAGTTACGTTTTAAAAAATATTCAGAGTAGAAAAAATATTGTGCTGGGTTAGCGTTGGTTTCTATGTAATTTGACAAATAAATAAAGCAGTTTTGAGTCAATATTTTTTAATTCTTTTTCGTGTCGATTGCTGATTGAATTGGAGCCAGAAATGGCTTTAAACGAAATAAGTAAATTACCAACAGATGTTCAGGCTGAGCCTATACAAACGCCATATCCAAACTACTTCCATTTAAATCCCGAATAACTTATGAAAAGGAATACAAAAATTTTCAAAAATGGAGGCAATTAAAATACGTGCTAGAAGAAATAAAGTTTTTAACCTATCCTCGCTGTTAAAGTATCATTTAATCTACCCTTGCGGTTAAAGTACTATTTTATCTACTATTTTTGATAGATATAAGGCAATTTTAACAGTTGCTATGGAAAAAAATCAAATAATTCAGCTACAAATTGCTTAAAAGATTTCAAAATCGGCCCACTAGGACATAATATATTAAACTGTAAAATACATCAAAATTTTAAGGTGCCGGTTTTTCGTGCCGGTATGAGTGTATTATTCCCTAAATATAATATATTTTTTTGGATTACCTTGCCTTTCATGTTTTGTTTTATGATGTTGCAAGGATTATGTTTATGTGATAAACAAAAAGCGCAAGAACATATTCTGTTTTAGTGAGTATTGGAATTCAAGTGTGAAATAAGTGTGAAAAAAATTTAGTGAGTATTGGAATAAGTGGGAAAAATACGTACGTTTGTAAGTTGTCCGTATCCTTCAGAATAGTAACTTTCATTGTAGTAGGGGTTGCTCTCGTAGATCCCATCAGTTGGATTTCTATTTCCATGCCTGAACAGCTACAAAAATACAAAGCAATAGTCAGTTATCAATATTATAAAGTATCTGAAGTCTGCCCAACGGGTCAGGTCAGATTTTGACAGACGACATTTAAAAAATGACAGAAATTGAGAATATCAGAAAACCGAAGAATCTAAGGTATTCCATTTAAAATCCAGCAAATTGGCATCCAATTCTAGTTGAACTGGCAGTTCCAGAAAGTGGATATATTATCTTGAAACATCAAATTTGTATCTAAATTGGATCTGGATAGTTTTGGGATATTTACATTAATGATGTGACGAATATTTGTTTAGTCGAATAGCTAAATACAGTATATTTGGCTGAATTTGAAGCGAATACTAGGGCCGAATACCGAATAGTGTGAACATTGATGTAGCTCATGAAGCTCAGGATGTCGGCGTCGACTTTAACTCCCGAAACAATATTGAAATTGAGTTAGATGCTTATTTGTTGGGTAAAGTATTAAACAAAGATTATTGTCCATTTTTTTAGTAAAAAAAACTCTTTCAAATATCCAAAGATGAGCCAGCTTGTGAAGATCTAAGTTTAGATTGTTCTCAGGATCTGAGATCTGTAGGAGCACAAACGATTTTTTATAAACACTAATATGTTTTATTACCTGATAGAGCAAAGCATTTAGTATTTCTACCGAGTTTCTCAAAACTGGCTCATCTCTATAACTTCTTTATTTTTTCAGATAGAAAACGAGATTTGGTAGGTTAGTACATGACATAAATCAGTATTGATTGACGTATTCAATTGTTTTCTGTCACTTCCTGTTTTACCGAAAATGTCTACAACTTTATATTTTTAAACGACGCCTTCGATATTTTTTATTTTATTTGATAGAAAATGATACTATGAATAGAATGATATGATTTATGTCATCTTCTGACTTTGACATTTTCGCAGATGGTTTATTTGAAATTGTAATTGTTAATGCGGTTCATAACCCCAATTTGACTGGAAATATTAAGTGTGTTGTATCGAATTATTCGTAAAAAATGCTTTTTCCAAATATGCTAATGAGTCGCCCTTGTCTTATTTGAAAGAAATGAGATATGATTAAAAATACGATTAGGTTATCTTTCAACCGGCCAGGACAAGGCACGAAAAACATTAGACGATCAAATCTATTTTTTCAATAAAAAATAATGTTTGCACAGCTTAGATTACTCTAGTAGATAGATAGATTAGTAGATAGAGTAGAAATTGCTCTAGATAATCGAAATTTAAAATACGATTTTTTTATGCGAAAATGTTGAAAGTTGACATTTTCATGTCATTCTATTCAGAGTGTCATTTCCTATAGAATAAAGTCTTTGAATAAGAAAACTAAGGAAGGAATATAAAAAATCTTAGGTCCACCGCGATGGGACTCAAATATGACCGACTTAAATTCCGGTTTATCAGTGCCGTTCTAATTTTATTTAAAAAGTGTAAAACTATGATGTAGGGTAGACGTGGGGTAAACTCAATATTTTTTTTTATTTTACGTTGTGAATAAATGTTGGTTATTATTAAAAATAAAGTAGAATTATTAAAATTGCTATAAAACATATTATTATAATAAAAATAGATAAGTTTTAATAATTATTTATTAACACAAACATCCTATACGCTACTGAAGCAGGTAAGTCAAATTGACGTATCTAATCTTTGACAAGTAGTAAATAAAAGCAAAAATGCAAGAAAAAATATATAATCAGTTAATTTAAGTGAATTTCATAAATGATCGGTTTACTACACGTATGTATATTGTATAGTCACTTACTAGCGAAAAGTTGTTCCATTATTTCACTCGATTTTTGTCGAGATTACCGCACGCTACACAACCAACTATTTTAGAGTCTTTTTCGATAAATCGCGATAGTGTCACTGTTAATTTAAGTTTTGCCGTTCTGCCACAATTTCCATCTAGATTTACTACCTTTATACCAGTATCAGTAGAAGAATAAATAATAAATAACATAAAATAAGCTCCGTAAAGACTGACAAGTCCACAAAATTTCAAATCAAATTCAAATGTGTCAAATGAATCGTCAAACAGAACTGTCAAGGATCCCCACCCTAGAGTCCTTTTTCCGCCCACCATGCATGAATACATGGATAGCATTATGCTCCTTCCTCAGTCTTTTTATTCAAAGAATAAAATAAAAAAATACCGAGGATATCATTTAAAAATTAAAAGTTGTAGTCATTTCCGGTGAAATAGGAAGTGACTGAAATGAACTGAATACGTCAATCAATCCTAATTCAGTCATATACTAACATACCAAATCTCTTTTTTTACGTAAAAAAATAAAAAAAAGTTATAGGTTTGAGGCGTTACATCATAGGTACCTATTACATCCGGTATGTAATTATATAAAATAACTGGATCTCTAAGAAGTACATGTTTTTAAAGAAAATATTTATGGCGTACTTACCACGTGCGCTAGTTGTAAAGTGCTTGTATCATAAGATGATTGAGCCAAAGACACCAAACTGCTTAGGAAGGCTACGAGAGCAAACATTTTAGAAGTGAACATCTTGATGAATGTTAACTTTTTCGAAAAATCGATCTCTTTTATACCAAATTATTGATAAAAAAGCGAATTGAATATTCACTACCATAAAAAATAAAAATACCTTTTTATTGATTTCTTAATTCTCGTTTTTTGTGAGATTACTTTTTTGCGGGATTAAGATTTCGAAAACGTGATGATCTTGTATCTACACGTGTTTCAGTTTATTGATTTTGGTTGTAAAAATATTAATCGTAGTAGTAAAAAACTAACTGTAATCACTTAAAATTCTTTAAAATTGGAAAAACCCAACTATTGTACTATTTTTACTGTATATGTTACGGATAAGGTGTTTACTTGGATAAGTTAAAAGAGTAGATGGAGAGTGTTTAAACTATCCAAAAGTCTGGCTATTTTGATGAAATATATTCTTATTAAAAATTTTACTAATATTTCTATTCTATTCTCTTAATTCATCTATTGAAAAAAGTCAGGGATTTTTACAACTGGAAACACCACTGCCTTAAATCTAACCGGAAACTTTGAAAAGCTTGTCAGTGGCTTGTTACTAGAGGAGATATCCTCCAGTAGTTACAGAAGCAAAAATATCAAAAAGGAAGAACAAAAAGCTATTTAAAATGTTTAAATATTGCTGTTCAAAAAACACTTAGTGTATTTGAATAGATCCTCACAAAGTATTCTATACATACCTTTGTAGATTGATTTGTAGATACGTTGATTATAAACCATTGAGGTTGCTACAAAGGTACACAGATGTAGAATGTAGAATGTTTAGGAGGGGAGTTAATCACTGCGACCATATAGATCTATTGTGTGTTTCCCTTTCTTGAGTTATAACGAGTTATAACTCATCATACAGTCTGAGGGCTTTAACAAAAGCCAGTACCTGAGACGGCTCCACAGAGGCCAGCTCTCCATCCTCGACATCAGACGTACCAAGGTTCATGGCACGAATGGTCGTCGTCTCGGCGCACTCAGTGATAAGGTGTTCTGGTGTTTCCCCATTTTCCCCACAAAATCTGCATTCGCCGTTGTTTCTCAGTTTCAGCCTACTTAGGTGTTTGTTGAGGAGACAGTGTCCTGTTAGAAACCCCGTGACAATCCGAAGATTGTTTTTCCTTAAATCAAGGAAAACCTTTGATTTTTCACGGTCATAAGTTCTGAGGAACCTTTTCGAGTGTCTTAGACCGTTGGAGGACACCCATTCCAAGTTACGGATGGAGTCTTCCAGATTCTTCAGTTCCACTTTCAGTTGGTTCCCGTTTGGAAAACAGAACGGTTCTGGTCCAGTTAGTGGAGTGTTCGCTCCTTTTCTAGCTAGATCAAGGTACACAGATACCGTACGATCGAGAAAAAACGACGTCAGCGATGGCTATGAAATGATCGCTGTCATTTTGTATGTAAAATTTAGTCAAGAGAGTACTTGGATAAAATGTGTGAACTTAATATGCCTAGTAATATACAGGGTGGTCTGAATTGTATTTCGAAACTTCGGCAGCATATTCTACAGGTAAAAATAAGTAAAAAACTTCGTATAAATAACCAAATGCTTAGTTTCGGAGATTTCATTTTTATTTCGATTTTTTTCAAATAATTTCTGAAGTAACGTCAATATTTGGATAAATTAGTGTACTGGGAGTTTTTTGACATGATATATTTGATTTTGGTGTATCAATATGACTCCTACATGTAGAGAGCGCCACTTACATATTTTTTAACTGCTTTGAAGAGTAATAACTCTTCGTCCGTACCTGTATAAAACTACTGAGTAAAATAATATACATTTACGACGTTTTTTGCTTAAAAAAAGGTAAAAATCGCTACGAGTAAAGGTTCTCGAGATATTTGGAATCGAAATTATCAATACCTGTCATCATTGACATAAATTATTAAATGTTGGCTAAACAGTTATTAGATTCAAATCATAAATTGAAAATGTTTTTGTGCTAAATGTTCAACAGAAACTGTTTTATCATCATTTTGATCATTTGTTCGAAGCAAAATTTATGATTAATTTAAAAAAATAAAAGTTCCCTAAATTTATTACTTTCGTCAAATAACTATCTACTCAACGTGTTTATTTTTTGTGTGTCTATCTTTTGTCAATATATAATAACATGTATTGACTATTTCCGTTCTAAATATCTTGAGAACGGTTGCTCGTAGAGAATTTTATCAAGAGACATTTTTCACGTAGAAAGTCACGGAAATGTATATTTGTTAACTCAGTAAATATTGAAGCTTACAGTTGAGGGTTGGAACCTTTGGTGTTACACAGCAAAATAAAAACACTAAATCACCACAATACACCAAAACACTTTTGTTTTACACTGGAAGCGCGTTTCGCTAACCATGTTAGCATCATCAGCAGATGATTAAAAATGCGCGTCCAGTGTAAAAGTAAAAGTGTTTTGGTGTATTGTGGTGATTTAGTGTTTTTATTGAAGCTACTTCAGATATTATTTGGAAAAAATCGAAATAAAAATGAAAACTAAGCATTTTAGGACATACTAGGCTACACATACGAACTTTTTACGTAATTTTATCTGCAGAATATGTTGCCGAAGTTTCCGGAATACAGTTCATACCACCCTGTATAATAAACAACCCGTCGGTTATGTAACAGATTTATTTAGTTAATGACATTTGTCAAAATATAACACTAATTCACTATAGTATACCAAAACACTTTATTTCTAACACTGGACGCGCCTTCCTCTTACCATGTTAGCTTCATAGCAGATTATTAAACTTAGAGTTTTAATAAAAACTTAAAAAAAATTGAGATTATCAATTAAAAAGAATTATCTGCTGATGACATGGATAGCAAACTGCAAAATTCCTGTAATGGGTAATTATCAGCAGGGCCGGCTGAAGGGCCGGGCGATCCGGGCTGCCGCCCGGGACGCCTTAAACGAGGGGCGCTACAACAGCAAATAAAATATTTAAAAACAGTAATCTAAACAAATAGTAACGAATATCCAGTTCAATAATTAATCGGTACTGTCAATTACACACGTAGGGAAGAATATCTGACTAACGTAGGGAAGAATATCTGACTAAACATTATAAACACTATACTATATATCTTAGATGTATCCTATTATAGTTTACTGAAATTATGCTCAAAAAATCCTTAGCACGAAAGTTTTGGGATAGTTTTGATTTCTTCTATTCTATATGTTTAAGCGCTCTATCCGAAACTGGGATTTGCGAATTCATTTTCGTGGAAGAATATTAAACAAAATTAAATAAAAAAATATAAATCGGACTTGTTCGTGGCATTTTTATAACTCAAAAGCTAACAACTTTTTGTAAATAATCCTTCTTTCTATAATTCTCGTTTTTATATAACAAGCTGTTTTGGGTCAAGAGCCAGCAAAATTAACAGTTTTAGGCTCAAAATTGCATTTTTTCTACTATCCACACCCTTTATTTGTTATTAATGGCTGATATGCTCTAAAGTTATATCTGGCAAATATTCATTCGCAAGAAGCTGAAGAGGATCCCGATATCCTTATTATCAAAAAAAACTATAAGTTTGCCTCATTAATTAAATTAATTTATTAATAGTAGTGGGAAAGATATCAATCTTTTGGTGGTTTTGATTGTTCCGGATTGAATATGTAGTAATACACTGAAAATGGTAGCAAAATCGTAGAATTTTCTCATTAGAGGAATCACACAAAGAAATGCATCTCAAACTGCTGATCCTCATTTTGCAGCCGACAAAACTGTCTGATCATAATACTGATTCTGCACTAAATATGTAATTGTTTGTGGAAAAGAGAGGAAAATTTTCTTAAATTCTTAATAATTAACTATAACTACTTGCAATTAAATACTGTTATGTTTTCAAAGATCACTTATACCAGAACGAGACTACCGAAGTTGGAATTCTATTTCTTATGCTCTACATACCGAGTGTGTCTCAGAAGTTTCTCCCCCTCTAATTTGTTTATTTTTAACACAGCCCTGACACTATAGATCAAAATTTAAAATACGATTTTTTAAGCGAAAATGTAAAAAGTTGACATATGATATGCCAGTCTACTTAGAATGTCATTTTCTTTGGGAATAAAGTAGAAATATACCGAGGGTACATTTAAAAATCCAAAGTTTTAGTCATTTCCGGTTAAACAAGAAGTGACTAAAAACCATTGAATACGTCAATCAAACCTAATATATGTCATATACTAACATACCAAAACTCGTTTTTTTATCTAAAAAAATAAAAAATTTATAGGAGTGAGTAACTTTCGAGACCGGTGTAGAAAAAACAATAATCGCAGACTAAGATTGAAAGAAGAGAAGAATTTTGAAGTATCTTTAAGTGAAAATTTATTGTTAAAGTAGCATAAATCTGCTTAGTTTGTAGTTAAAGTATAGGACTGAAGGAAAAAGAGACTTATAATAACTGTTAAGAAGGGGGGGGGGCGCCAGATAGGGTACTCGCCCGGTCTCAATATTTTCCTTCCGCCGGCACTGATTACCAGGGTAATTACCCTCATTACTTCTCCCGTATATGCACGCCGATTATTTAACATATTTACATAATTATTCTCATTCCAGCGATATGTCACAAGCTGATATTATAATATTTTTATTATAAGTATCACAAGTACCACATTTTCCGATAACTATTATCACCCTTTCCTACGCCAGGGGCGCTATTCTGTACAATCGTCGGTATCGGTAAATTACCGACAGCTATCGGTACGTATTTGTATATAGTAAACATGTGTTGATTGTTGTTGTCATAGTTATCGATCGGCCCTATGACAGATATTGCAAATTTGTACCGACGAGGATCGGTATCTCTACCGTGCTCTTGTTAACCCCACGGTAGAGATACCGATAGTCGTCGGTACAAATTTGCTATATGTCCTATTAATGACAGCTCAAAACTATGACAACAACAATTAACATAACGTTCATTGGCCGTACGTACAGACGGCTGTCGGTAACTTACCGATACCGACGATTGTACAGAATAGCGCCCCAGGGGCTCTATTCTGTACAATAGTCGGTATCGGTAAGTTACGACAGCTCTCGATAAGTATTTGTATATGGTAAAAATATGTTAATTGTTGTTGTCATAGTTACCGATCGGTCCTATGGCAGATATCGCAAATTTGTACCGACGAAAATCGGTATCTCTACCGTGCCCTTGTCAACCTAACGGTAGAGATACCGAGAGTCGTCGGTACAAATTTGCGATATCTGTCATAGGGCTGATCGGTAACTATATGACAACAACAATCAACACGACGCTCATTGACCGTACGTACCGATATCTGTCGGTAACTTGCCGATACCGACGATTGTACAGAATAGCGCCCCAGGGTATCGGTAAATTACCGACAGCTATCGGTACGTACGGCCAATGAGCTTCGTGTTGATTGTTCTTGTCATAGTTTTAGCTGTCATTAATAGGACATATAGCACATTTGTATCGACGACTCTCGGTATCTCTACCGTGAGGTTAACAAGAGCACGGTAGAGATACCGATCCTCGTCGGTACAAATTTGCGATATCTGCCATAGGGCCTATCGGTAACTGTGACAACAACAATTAACACATTTTTATTATATAGAAATACGTATCGAGAGCTGTCGTAACTTACCGATACCGACGATTGTCGATGCCGTGTACAGAATAGCGCCCCTGGGGAGGCGCTATTCTATATAGGCTCGATTGCATTTTATACACAAATTGCTGCATTTCCGATTAAAACAAGCACAAACACAGTTTGCTGTGCAAAGATCT